AGATAAACAAGCAAACAAGGATAGCAGTAGGAGAATATAATACTGTCACGTACTGGTTACCGTCCACTTAAAGATAAACTTCATCTCTAGAAAAAAAAGTGAAATTTTAATGTGTTGAAAAGAACTCAACCTGATTGTCTTAGCAATATTTGCTACTGTACTTTGAATTCAGCATTCTAAGATAGTTTTGGATCCATCGGATGCTAATCACCTTCTTCAGTAGTGCTCAAATGTAAATTAATCATTTTATCTTATTGAAATATTAGGAGAACTGTTGTTGAATGACAAAGAGATATGAATTTATCAGTAAGAGAGTAGAAACCGAAGTATAAGCTCAAGTAATGTTACTCAACAATCCTGAATTATCTAATTGTTTATTTCACATATTCTTGCGGTTATTCCTTTATTCAGCTGCTATTGAAATTTTTTCACATCAATTTTCTCCTACTTATCTTCAACTATTTGTCTACACAATTAAGTTCCCATTGAATCATTTTGGACAAATGCCTGAAAGCTGAGGGCCTGTTTCTATACTCACACGGGTATCAAGCCTTACTTTTTAGATTTTCTTGCACAATATCTGATTCGATTGACATCCCTTCCCCTCAATTACGTTTGCACCAACATCCGCTGCTATATAACTGATGTTTTTTTTATTGATTCATATGAGTGTAATTATAATTTATTATTCTATGCAATCATAGTTTTAATTTTTTTATTGATCTACGCGAATATAATTTTGTAGATCATTTTGGAACTTTATTTTATCAAAGTGATAAGCAGTTCAAATCTGTTCACTGCCACAGTGGAAATGATTCTTAAGATTGTAGGAGCTATATTAGCAATCATAACCGTTCCGATTTGACGGAGAAAAGAAACTAATATTTAATATCAGCCACATCAATTAAAGTGCTTCTAATTGTGATGATGATATCAATGAAATCTATAATTGTTTCTGATCGTTACACCACAACCGCACTTTTCATTCATACTTACCATCTTGTAACAAATAATATGTCTGCACTGTCTGTGTCACGTGTTCTCAAACTTTACATATAATTGATTATCAATTTTGTCGAAGATTTTGTTACTTTCAGTCTCAAATTTGAAGCAAAACTATAAAATATTTCCCAAACGGCTTCATACACACACAGACATACACATACATATTACACGAAAATGTCCATTGTTGTGGTTGTGTGCCATCATTAGTTCACGATTTTCACGAGGACCTCTATCGATTCTTGATTCTTTTCTGCTATTCCCTTTTCTTCTCTTCTCAATCTATATTGTCTTTTCCATTTCACTTTCCCAGCCTATTTTTCCGGGGCCAAGAAAAAACCTTCAAATGTTCTGGTAGCCTTAAGCTGACACCACTCAACATAACATCAAATTCCATTCTCACAAAACTTGCCTAGCATATGTGTATGTGCGTGTATGTGAAGGGGTGGTTAGGTATACATGTGTGTGTGTGTGTGTATGTGTATGTGTGTATGTGTATATTCTATAATCATGAATTTTACAAGTATCCCGAGAAAGCGGACATATATTTATATATATTCTTGCTTTGAATTTCAACAGTTCCTCAACAAATTATAGATTATACACACTTATATTGCATACATACATATGTAAACCCTCACATACATATATATGTACCCCCATCATATAGATTCACACATAACACACAAATGCATACATATGCTCAAATACAAAGTTTGATTGATATTGCTGACATCAACAGTTAGCGCAGATTTTCAGATTTAGAATTCTTTTTTAAATTCGATTTATTCCTTTTTTGGAATAAGTGATTTTTCCTATACGTTATTTTTATCAACCTGACAGACGTATTAAATGTTATTAGGTATACCTATGTAATGTATTCCTTCTTCAACTAACCATTTGCTGATAATGTATTCTTATGGACATTTGAATGGTAACAATGATAAAAGTAACAAAAATGTGTGTTATTAAAATTTAATGTTGATTGCACAAATATGTTACGGAAAAACGATCGCATACATATATAAAATGACAGATGAGAATAGAATGATTGCAGAAGTTGTTAAGTGCTAGAGATAACTCTGACCTCACGAAAATATATGACCCCACGAATCGTTGCATTTGACTACAGGTGCCTCATTCGGTTACTTATATCAGGAAATGCAACATTATGTTGTCACTATGAACTATTATATTATATTATTAAGTCCCTAAAACAGGAACCGCGCATGTTATTCCAGTGAATAAATGGAATTAGGCAGGAAAGGAAAACATTACGGAAGATCAAGAATTTTTTTTCACATCAGTGACTTATGCTATCCAAAATGAAGATTAAAAGAAGAAACGATTGAAAACAGTGCTGATACTATTGCAAGAAACTGTTTGCTGTTATACTCATATAAAATTTATGCTTAAAAAATTTCATTTGCTTAATTACTTTTGGGCCGTCTTCCTTCCTTTCCATCTCATCATAAATTAATAAATTATAGTATCCATCCATTTACTGAATATTCAGTAAATTCATATATATTTTGTTAAATCAATTCAGAAAGAATTCTTGAAACCACTTTGTTAAGTAAATGATCAAGAAAGCAATGAGATTACTGAGAGAAGACTTCAACTTAGTTTTAAGCATAATTTAAACGAAAACATGATGACAGATGAAAAGTGTTACACTTTACACTTGTTTACCATTTTCTTTATTCGTGTCAAAATTGTTTAAGTGACTATGTTAAAAATTTTTATGACACATTTTTCGTCTTTCACATAAATGAAGAATTTAAATAAAAGTTGAAATCAATTAAAATAAAGGTTGAATTGAGAAATATTTTCAAATGCTCTTTGAATATGTTTCTGAAGTCTTTTTATGCTTCCTTCTCCTGCATTCTTTTGATCAATTTCTTGGACGACACACTATTCATTTTTCAATTTTTAAGCGGTATACAGCAAGTTATAAAATAATATTTGATGTTTCAAAATTTTCTGCATAATTTCGAAAATTTTCGAAATTTTCCCTAAAATTTGTTTCGATGAGAAGAAATATTTATCTGAAAGCAGTGTAAATAATTTTTGTCTTATCCTACAGTTATCTTCATCTTTAGCTAAAAGAAGTGAGAAGGATGGGTAGCAGCAATTAATTATAAAAAAATAAAATATAACAGCTGGAAGCCGTGAGAGTATTTGAAAAGGTTTATCCGGAACGCACTCAGTGTATCCATATCGCATTGCAGTGTTACTTCAAAAATAAACTTTCAAAAAATGACATCACCTTCATGCCACTCATTTCATTCCTTACGATTAAATACTGAAAGCACGAACGTGCTTTTTAATTGTAAGGAATGAAATCATATTTTCTAGCTTTCTTTGTGAAAAAAAAGAAAACAAGTAGAAGAAATTGGCACGAATTTCTGCTATTCTTTCCATTCTTCTAACTATGATATTTCCCTACTTTTTCCCTTTACAGCACTTTTGATTCATTGCTTGTGAAATTCGCAGCTAGTTAACGTGCAGAAAAAGGGGCAATAATTGGACAATATTTGAAGTACAGTAAAATTCCTTTCGGGAAGTTCCAAGTGAATAAAAAAGAAGAACCTTAACAGTTCGATATCGATAGCTTAATTAGTGGAAAACAAAATATTGCGATAGCTGATTTTGTTAATTTCAAGCAACAGCATAAAGTCTCGTTTAATCATATAATCAGATTGGAGCTGTGCTATTACTATACCTTGCTAATCCTGCAGTTAAATCTATCGATCCTTTTCAGTATGATCAAAGGTTACGAGGATCCTCAATCGATAAATCTATCCAATCTCTTCGCTCTAATTAAAAGTCTTCCTTCAGTTATTTAAGCCAAAATATTTAAAAGATTGAAAATCAAAATTTTGCTTGCGGTAATGAAAGATACTATTAAGGAACATGAGATATTTCATTTTTCGACCAGTAAAAGAAATAATGTAAAAGCAAAGGTAAAGGAATTAAGCAGCAAACTAAGTAAAGAGGTTATAATGCGACTCTAACCTTTCCACTGACAATAACTGCCATTGGACAACTTTGAGTAAATCGGAAAATGTTCCATTTCAAATCCCAAATTCCAGTTCGCTTCCCTTTTTCCCCTCTTCATTAGAGTAATGCATAGCGTAAGGGTTATCATCTACAGTTTCTCTGTCTATCTCTCTGCGAAAAATGAATTCCCCAATTACTCTCATCATCGGGAATCGTTATAACTTAACAATTTTTTCAATACTGGCTCTACGATGCTCATGCAATCTATCGTCTCCTCACTTAACTCATTATCTTCCCATTCTTAATCTCTAATGGACGTATTTTTAAGTCTCATCGATCTCTAAAAAATCTCTTCAAAATCAACTCTATTTTCTAACGCTACGTCGTCTTCGCTAATAATTAACAGTTGGATGACACAGTAAAAAGGCCTCATATCACACTTGTAGTATTAATTTGGTGGAGGTTGGCGAGCTTGTGGAAGTGTGGATAAGTGGAATGAGAATGGTTTGTCACCGATGATATCATTGACAGCGCAAGAAGATACAAATAATATCTTTACTACTAGAGTGGTCCTCTTCCTCTCTTTCTCTGTCTCCCTCACAATGTTAGTCATTCACGTTATTTATCCAATAGAGCATTTTTTTCATAAACTTTGAATTAATCGTTTGGTAGATAACATTCCTGAAATTAAATTTTCCCTTTTAAAGTCAGTTCAAATTACAAAGTTATATCTATGTTTAGAACAAAGTTGCAATATGGTTTGAGGAATTGTGCAAATATCAACAAGGCTTATGCTTCATGTGACCATAGACGTTATCTTTCATTTGATCTTTTTTAGGAATATTATATTGGAAAAACTGTGAACCAATTTTGTACCATAATTTTACACTCTGTGGTCCATTTCAACGGTACTCAACATGATTCGATGGAAGTTTTTCAAGGCTAGCTGATACTTTTTTTGCGTTTTCTGATATCTTTGTTGTACGTAACATACAATGGTTCTACGGCCGTTAGAATTTGCGGATTGCCTGTCAGATAGTCCATGGTTTCGCCAAAATTTGCGGGAACATGAAAATGTTTTGGAAGATGCCCATAAAAATATCAAAAATATCGAAATACAATGCCGCGAACTTATTCATTGCACGAGGAGTAAGTTTTACATTGTTTTTATATTTTTTCTTCATTCATTTTTCATTTTGCGCATCTTGTTGTCATCCTAATTCCGATTCTTGTTTTTTTCAATTTTCATCATTTCTATATTCTCTTTTTTTGTTCACCCTTTTTTGAATGTTTCTTTTCTATGGTTAAAATGAAAATTTCAAGTTTATTTTAGGGGATACAGGAATATTTTTTCATATGAGCTTAAATTTGAATATAACAAGTGTCAAAGAAAATAGAAAATACTTCACATTTAATTTCGATGTTACGCGGCTCATTAATTTATAACATTTAAAAATTTTTCATTCTGCTTAATTAATTTAACTTGTTTTTCTTTTGCTCATATAATAGTTTGCAGATTTCTAGGAAGTCATCACGATTTTATAGATGGCTACTTACAGTTTTGTAGTGTGCAACCAAGTTGAAAAAAGATGAGAAATAATTTGCAATTATATTGTAGAACTTTCCGTGGCTCAAAGAGCATTTGCAAAGTCGTTGAAAGAATTTAAATTTGTCACAATTGGTAGTACTCAGACAGACGATGAACGAAAAATAGGTTAGTTTTTTCTTTTTGGTTTTTTATTCTTTTAGCCAGGCTTTTGTTATCAGCAATATCAACTTTGATGAAGGATATTTTAATTCCAGATGCTTAGATTTTCGTACATTTTACTGCTATATAGTGTATAATGCAGAATGCCGATAACTTTTTTTTTACCTATTTCTACAATTACATTAGCGATGGCAGTGGATAAAACAATCAGTAAAAATTGCAGAGACTCAGCATTTCGAGTCTTTTTTTTATTGTCTAAAATCATTTAGAAACTTTACATTAGAAGCTCTAAAATCTCTGTGACAAAGTCGCTGCTCAGCGTTATGTCAGTAATCGTAGCAAAAGCTCACTTAATAGATTTGCAGCTGAGTGTATGAGTAAATTTGGCGATTTTGTAAGTCAAATTGAAGATCATCGCGAAAAAATTATTGAAGATTCGGAGATTCATTTTATCGAGCCTCTACGTAAATTTCGAGTGGAAGGAATTGGCAGAGTTAGTTTTAGTTATTTGTGATTAAAGATTGCGTTCATGTTGAATAATATTGAGTATGTGCGTCTGCTCACACTTCGGTAAGTAGTTCGGAACTCTGTAGTAATGTATTACTTTTCAACTAATGTTTTCTGCTAAATTTCAAATTGCGGATTTACCGCTAATTTTCAAAGATTAAGAAATTTTTTCCAGCCCGATGTTATCATAAAATACCTATATTGTTTTTCCTAACTTTAGACAGTGCAAAATGCAAATTGATTTAGGTATTACATGATGACAAAAAGAGGTACGAAAAGGAATCCAACAAGTTTTATGCATCGCTCGAAAAACATTTACACTTATCGACCGTGAGTTTCTTCTTATTGTTGGTGAAGTTTAATTTCCTGCTGTAGTCTTTTCTTTCATTAATAAAATAATTTTACTCACAAAAAATTCTTCCTAAAGTTTTCGTCACGGTTTAGGATAAGAAATATTTCAGTGTATCTGAACAAAGAACACTAGAAATTCCAGACAAAGATGATATGACTACCCACAGCTTGTTTAGCTGTAAATTAAACAAAATAATTAAATAGCTAGCTTAGCCCTCCTATGGTTTTTGCTACATGGTTGTGATCCAAAATCAAGCCGAGAATTAATCTGCTTTTGAATAGATTGTTGAAAATTCAGTATCGTTTTGAAGGCGCGAAAAAATGATTTCAAAGAAGCGGATGCTCAATTGGACATGCAACAAAGGAATTTCTGCAGTTGTTCGCTGGACTATGTAACAGCAATACAGGCGGTTCAGGAAAGAATGAAATTTGAATTTGTGGAGACGTTATGTTCGTTCGTATATAGCTGGCTCACTTTTTACCATGTTGGTAAGTGTAATGTTTGCTTATATAAAAATAAATTTTTTATGCAAATCAAGGACCTAATAAAAATTGGTTAAGCCTCATTAAAGTTGTATTGCATTGTACCTTGCTGGCATCAATAAAATTATTGTTGATACCCGTAAGAATTTTTTAGGTCACGTAACGCATGAAGACTTCAAACCATTTCTAAGTGAAGTGCAATCGAAAGTTCAAAAGGTCATATTTTCGTGCTCGTTTTCTTTATAGATGATATCTATTTCCATGTTGTTAGGGTTATTTTTTCATCATTTGTGGTAATAGAATGCTTACTTATTATTGATGAGAGTATCAGAGAGAAAGTTATGTATTCCAATTCATTTCATGAAAGTTTTCCTGGTACTTTTGTTAAATAAAGAACTAGTTTTAGGCGAAACAAAGCTTTGAAGAAACAAAAGAATATTATGTGCAGCTCAAAGACAAAATGCTGATAAATCATTTGAAAAATGCAGTTGGTTTTAATTTTTGCCAGAGTTTTAAACGTTTTACCTTATTGTGTGTATATGAAATATTTTGATAGCTGGTATGATAAGTTCTTTCAGAGATCTAACTATGTGGAATTAGGAGATGTACAGCGCTGAGTTCCTTATTACTGTATTTAGTAACTTAGTCTATGTTTTTTTCAACTGCCACATTCCTAGAGGTTGGGAAAATAACTTCAGGAAGCTGGGAATCTTCAAGATGAAATAATCATAGTTATTTGCAAAGTATTGAGTAGTTAATAATATTTTTCGAGAATTGCCTGAAAATTTCGATTTTGTTTCAATTAATTTTTTGCATAAATCCGATTTTACGACTTTCAGGTATTTCAAACAAACGAAAGTGATAATTTCAGTGAAAATCCTCGAACCGTTTCTAGTATTAAACAAGGCTATATTTTTGTTCACGAGAAAAGTAGAATTCCAAGTAGGTTGTTTCTGATTCCTAAAAACTTGCTATGTTTTATTGAGGCGTGTCTTTCCATGATATGTAACGTAATCATATTCTCACTTTACTACTCGGAGCTCTCATTACATATTTCTTTTCAGAAACAATCGGTAGGGATGTTTTGTCAAATCGATGGACTATGTATTATTGTGTATATCAAAAAGAAACGCGAATATTTACAATGATTCCAGTAAATAATACGGCAAGAATGGTTAGTAGGATCTCAGAGTTATGATGCTTTATTAATAATTATGGATGAAAAATGATGAAGTTTGAGGATGACTGAGTTCCACTTCACATTTTATTGTGTTGTATTGTATATTTCCCAAAACTCCGGAGTGTTTTTTTCTTTATCTATACCATGGTAAGATACCCAACAAATACCATGTGGGAAAATGGAACTCGCCCAAGTTACTTATAACAGTAATAGATATAAAAAGTCCAACATTATTTATCTTTCAGTACATTTTATTACATTCTAAACTGTTCATCGTAAATTAGGTCCGCGTAACAGTCTTTCTCAAATCATGTTTTAATATTTCAAATATTTCATTCAAATCCCTCAGATTTCCCTCAGTTTTTAATGTTCATTAATTTTTTTTCCATGATTTATCGCTTAAGGATATGAAAGGTGCACTTGGACAATCCGTTTCTTTTAAATTGAGAACATGCACTCGAAGGGCTTCAGACAGTATTGACAAAAGGTTTTTTTTTTTCTCTCGAAGTATTAATAACATTTCAAATGAAAGTTGTGAAAATGATAGTATTGCAATAAATCATTAAAGCATTTTGTACATCTTAGTTTCTATGTAAAATCACTTTCCAGATTTTGCTTTGACATCTTAGCAATGGATCGTACTGAGCAAATGACGTTACAAGCACTATCCGAAGAAGATCGCCGACAATGGCTTGATGCTATGGACGGAAGAGAGCCCGTAAGATTTTATATCGTTTGACAATTTATATTCATAAAATACTGATTTCAAAGATTTTTTTTATTTCACTTTATTAATAGAGTTACGATTTCACTGTATAAATGGAATATATAAGTTTCTCTTTATGCACATTTCTCAAAAACAGCGCAATGACGAGACAGATTTCAGGTATACTCACCCGGAGCAGGACCGACATCAAATTGTCTTGGAAGTAAGCGCTTTTTATAGCAATGGGCAAAATTGCATTTGCGTAATTCTGAGTTTCCATTTTTTTTCTTTTTTGATCGTGTCTTTGGTGCATATTTGTTTACTAAAACTCACATAGTCACATTTTGCAAAAATTTCATAACCTCAAAATTTTTTATTAGTGATTAGATTTATTGTCTGCAGTCTTTTTTTCCGGACTTATCAGTGATATATTATCAAAAATTTTGGACAAAACTTAATATTCCGACATTACATCTTTTGATATCATTGCTATATATTAAGCACTTGATAAAGGTTTAGTAATTTCACTGATTAAATGATTTAGTCCAACCATTGATAACATGATAAGGCGTTGCAGATTACATATATGTATTGTGACTGGTCTTGTCCAGTTGCTTCTTGCTAAATTTTACATCTTTTTTCTTTTCTAATTTTCTAGCCTATTTTAGTTTTTTATTTTTCTAGATCTTCGAAGTAATTATTGAAGGATGACTTTTTTGATTATCAACTTAAGGATCTCAGAAAGATCATACGATTTTTAGAGGAAAAATTAGGAATTTCAATTTTGTGCTAGTTTTTATGTGTTATGGTGGCTTGTTACTCCGGATTTTTTATGATCTTGCTGCTTATGCTATTTTTAAAGTTATTTTTTAATGATGACGAACCGGTGGTAAAAGAATGAATAGAAGTACTATCATTAGCTTTAGCAGCGTATTCATTACATGGTGTTTACTTTGTCATATCCCGCTGCATCGATCGAAAATTGTAAATATTTGTGCTTTTGTGTCCGTTGAGATGACCTGAATCATTTTCATATATATAATATACACATTTTTTTGAATTACATGACAACGGTCATGTTTTAGGGTTACTTGCAAGAAAATATATCTTTGAAAATACTTTTCTGATTTAATAAGGTAGAATTTAAGAAGCATCTATACATGATAAGAGTTATACAGAGTACTAAATTTGCTGGGCAGCTTGCACTTTTCGAAAAAAAATCCAGGAAGCCAGTTAACTGCTGTTTTTCAGAGAGGATGAGTACATTGGTTTGTTTCTCTCCATTTAAGTTTACTGTGAAAGAGATAAGTTTCAGTAGGATTTCAAATATATTGCGAAATGATATTTCATTTCTGGCTCTTTTAGAAAAGTCTTCAAAAATTGTTTAAAATTGCTTAGATGTGAAATATTGTTATTTCTTAGTGTGGATTTGAATATCCAATAATTGTGGTGTCTAAGCGTACATGGTTTATCTCATTTGTGGCTGGAATGTTGACTTTATGCCATAAATCAATGTCATGAAGAATTGCTTTCTATGGCAATAATTCGTTTGACTATTGCTACCCGCAATAATAACAAGAGAGAACCTATGCACAGATAGTGATAGAAGTTGATCACCATCTGGTCATTAGTTCAGCCTCCTATTAATTATGAGGATTTGGAACTAAGATTTTATGCACAGAATAAAGTTTGAAAGGAAATTAAAGTCTTCAAATTAGGATGAATTTATTATAAAATAACGCACTTCCTTTAATGTGCAAGAAATTTATTCCGAGAGCAGTTCTTGTCTTGTGATAAATGACAAAAGAGTTGGAATGAGTAATATTAGAAGAGCGTGAAAAGGGAGAGAAGAAATTGTTAACGTTGCTATTATAGCAGTCACGACTATTGAAGAAAAACTTTGAGAATGATGATAATTTCAAGTCTTGGAGGATGGGGAATAGAGTTTTTCTTTTTTTGCTTCGTTAAACAGTTGTCAAATTCCATTAACAGTAAATGAAACAAGACATCTTTTAGTTATTTTGCCGTTAATTATAAGTAAGATTTGTTATACAAGTTCATATACCTCGTTCATTAATATACGAACATTTGGGAAGCATTAGGTTGCTTCCCAAATGTTCGTATATTAATCAAAAAGATAATGTGCCTCTCGTTGATTGACCGAGGGACACATTATCTTTTTGAGCTAGAATATTGCTAAAAGCTTTGTTAGCAAACATAGAATAATTTGAAATAATGCTAGGAGTGTTTTATTTCTATATAAATATACAAACAACAAATAACTACATGAGATCATGGATTTAACTCATTCTTGGACTAATAGCAAAAATCAACGTTTAAATTTATTAAGTCTGTATGACTAGCTGCTAGTTTTTATTTATAGTTTATCTTTCTGATCTGAATGTTATAGTTGCTTGGTTCTAGAAAGTAACGGCCCTTACCAAAAAACAGTTTTGTAATGACAGAGAGAATTAAATAAAAGCATAAAGGTATCTTTTTCAAAAAAGTAATAGTGCGATCTGCTGCTAAATTTCAAGAGTACTGATGCACAGATGGCTTTGCCTCGTATTCTCCTGAATTTTATTGCTTAAAATCTTCCATTTGAAAATTTCATTTGCTCGAGGGTTGTTGTTTTTTTGAAAAGGAGGGATTTTTTTTGCAATTCTATCAGCCTAATAACTCAGAATGCCATCGGTACGGGCTTGTTGTTGTTTTATATAAATGAGTTAGTAAATATCTTCAATAGTAGTAAGTTATTTCGGGCACAGTAACGAAACCTCAGAAAGGCATGATGTTATTCCGAAATGTTTTTGAAATGTTTTTAAAAAGTGCGTACCCACTTATCCAAGAGATTCACTTTCATTCACATATTTATCATGCTGATCTTTATGGTTGATGTCATTTGCAAACATATACAAATATAAAACGGAGGAGGAGCAAAAGGAAGAATTAGAGAAAGGGAGAAATTCAATATTTCTTATGGGCTTAAATTTTAAAGGAATTAGAAGATCCAAAAAGATAGACTGAAAATATATCCATTGCTTATTAGACTTTTTCCCTTTAGGCGTCATTGGTTTCAGTTCGTATGAAAATCCCAGCAGCAGAAACAGCAGCACTACTTCATTGATGATGTTTTCATAAGCAATGAAATTTATGTTTAATTTCTCATTCTTCTGAACATTATTTCTCACCATTCCAAGTCATTCAAATATTATCATTTCCTGTTTCGTTAAACATTTTCTATGCGCCCTTCATTCACAGAGTATACCCAATCATCGGGTATCACTAATGATCTCAATCGTGCCTCAACAGCTTACAATTTGACGAGAGGTTTGAGAGCCGTATATTGCGGTAGTGCATTTCTGCCAGCATTTGTATTGGACGAATGTCATGGTATCTTTTCTGTAGGCTTTCTTCTAAGCTGTTTTTATTAAAATTTTTCCCTAAGATTTGATTTCGACTGAATATATATTGTTGGAAAATTTGCAGCAGCTCTCAATGATGATGGTTTCGATTTTGTACGGAAATGTATAGAAGCAATAGAAGAAAAAGGTTTGTGAATTTTGGAAGAGAGCAATTAATTCAAAATTTAAATAAAATATAAATTAAAGAATTTTGGCAAGTGTTTCAATATTAAATTATTAAACTTGAAATTATATTTTCAAGTGTAAAACTGTGACATCTAGATGATAAATAAACTGATAAACTTCATTTTCAAAGGCGTTTCGATTTAATTACAATTGCTTGTGATTGAGAAGGTAAGTTATTATTACACGATGATTGGCAACAGTTCCTCGAATTATGACACCTTGCGAGTTTAATTTGGCTGCGATGAATTTTAATCTTGAAATTTAGCGTTAGGAATGAAGAAATTGTAACTATTAAAGTTTGGTCCTTTGTCTCATATTATGCCAACTTGTTCACTTTTTGATTGATTGAAATGAGAGTAGGAAATGAAATGAATGACATTTTTACGGTGGTAATATTTATTTAATGCTCAAGCTCACATGCTTCAACTATTGCGGTAGACATTGAGACTAATTAAACTTTTACAAATTCATGGTCTTAGCTTAACATCTGTGTTTTCTATCCAATCATTTATTTTACCTTTCCTTTGCCAATTAATTACATGTTTTCAAGTGGTAGAGGCACTTTTCCTTACGAGAAATACAATTCTTTTTTTTTGCTGTTGCATTTTTTCATTTTTCCTCGTTTTCAAATTGAAGAATAGTGTAAACTAAATAAGTATTATTGCAAGCGGAGAACTTCAAATTTTGTAATTAATAAAATATCTGCAAATGCTTGTGAAGTCTTGGATCGTAAGTCCTGACTTTTTCATAATATACTGTTGTCAGAAATGACAAAAGCTCTATGTATCGGAAGGCTTTGGTTTAAGATATTTTTTTATTCATTATGTGCAAAATTTATCAATAAATGGCGTAAAAAAGATCGTGAATCAAATTTTCAATACAAATTTAAACAGTAAGCATGTGGAAATGACATTTGCACAACTCACAATGTATCAGACCAATAAGGAAAAATTTTTTTGCTGGTTTCTGAAGCTAGCCAAAGTCTTAAAGTACGGGAGATTTCCAGATTAAAGAATTTGCAGCTACTTACTGTTCAATTTTCAGTTCTTCCTCGCCACTTTCTCGTCTTTCAGTGAATTGAGGGGTGCAAACATGAAAATAAATTTTTGCAATACATTTCTACAAAGGGATGGTCAGATCTTACAACTCTAGATAGAGCTAATTTTATTTTTTTTAAGGAATACGCGAGCAAGGGTTATATCGAAATTGTGGTGTTACATCAAAAGTGCAAAAGTTAATGCAAATTGGATTGGATAGACGGCGTTCCGTACATGACAAACTTAGTTTTGCTGATAATGAATGGGAAATTAAAACTTTGTCAAGCGCTCTTAAAACTTTTTTAAGGTATGTATTTTCTGGAATGTATGTAAGATAATCCTTTAAAGACAGCAAGAAAAATCACCGTCGCTCAAATAATGCTTTTTACAATTTCTGTGATTAAGGACCTACCTTGGAACCGCCTGAACTCTGCATTTGCAACATTACGATTCAGTCACGCTTTACGATTTTTTTCTTTATTTGATCGTATTTTACATGAAAACACTGTTTTGATGATTTTAAAATAAAATATTGAAACTGATAGAGCCATGTTTTCCCGCAACCATCGAATATTTAACATCGTGAAATTGGAATCTCGATACTTAATTTCTCACCAGTTATCCAAGAGTTAGTGAAGTAATTTCCTTGATTCAGCCTTGTATAATTATAACACTGCTATGATCACTTTTATCCGTTCTGGATAACTTCCAAAACTGTATTTTGCAGGAATTTACCGGAACCACTGATGACGTTTAACTTACATCCTCATTTTATCAATGCTGCCAAAATGGATTCTGAGACGCGTGTCTCTTGTATTCACTATTTTGTTTATAAATTACCGCAAATACATTTCGATATGTTGCAAATTATTATCGAGCACCTTCGGAAGTAAATTCATAAAGAGATAAAAAAAAAAAGATTCTTTTTTAATTTAAAAAAACTAAATTTAATAAATGGAATTATGGGATTTGGTTCAAGTAATATAACATGTATGTGTGGTCTAATTTTTGGAAAAATTGAGAAGATACTGTAATGCCTGACTTAACAATTTTTATATTTCCAATCCACTTTCGGTTTTCCTCCATGTTTCTTTTTTTTGAATTTCAGAGTAGCAGATCGTTCCAGTGAGAATCTCATGACGGTAGGTAATCTCGGTGTTTGTTTTGGGCCAACATTGCTGAGGCCAAAAGAGGAAACAATGGCAGCTATTATGGATATCAAATTTTGTAACGTGGTTGTCGAAGTGCTCATTGCAAATTATGATCTCGTTAGCACTTTTACTATTTATAACTATATAACATAATAAAAACAAAGTTTTATACTACGATCAAATTTTCGGACTAGAGAACTAAACGTAGAAGATTCAAGAAAGTAATACATGCTTTAAAAGTTGCCAAAAGCAGAGGAAGAAGAGACGATAAAAGCAGGAAAATGATAGAATTCAGTTAGGGAATTGTTAAGATAAATAACTACTGGAAGCAAAAGTTTTGACACTTCTCTAAATACTACTCGTTTGTTTGATTTGACAAAAACGAAAAAAAGACATGAGAAATTTCAAGTCATTACATGAATAATGAATGATTTTCTTAACCATTTATTGTGGTCGGAAATTTACTTGTCTTCTCATCATAAAATTACTTCTGTTTTTCAAGCACTGTGACTATTTCGCAAAATTATTGGAGGATTTGTTTGTTAAAATTGAACTAATTTTGAATTTTGTTTTTTGCAGATATTTAAAAATAAGCCAATAGAAATTGATAATATTCCTTGTATATCGAAAGCTAATGACCAGGAAGAATTGGTAAGTGAAAGCGCTTCTTTTGGAGAGACTAGCGCTACCCCTTGTATTGCTTTTTCAAAACAGCAGGCTCTACCAATCTCTCAGGAAGAGAAGAGGTAATCCATCTGTGCTGCTTTTTCTCTTTCCTCTAAATATAGTCTCGTAAAAAAGTGAGCGTAGAAAGTATGTTTGAATTTCAATAATTGTCATTGAATCAGAACATGAAAGAAAATTAAATTAGTTTGAGAACATGTTTCATTGATTATAAAAACCAATGGATGTCGCTCATCGCCTCAGCAGCTACACGTGAAAGAAAGTGATTATTAAGGCAATCTATGTAATGTAATGTGTGACTATTAAATTGAATTAAATTGGATTTTGATAAATTATCAGAAAATGTATTTAAAAACAATTTAATGAATATATTTTGATAAAGGAAGTGGCAGCATGTAAGTAATGTTGCAGGCTGCAAGCTGATGATATATCAAGTTTCAACAGGCGTCCACAAACGATTGCCAGTCCAATCAAGTGTCAACGCCCTCCCCCTATTTACGACCGAGTGCCATGTTCCTATGCCGATAGCAATAATGGTTTCTTTTTATTTATCATTTGTTAATATATTTTGTAGGATTAAATCTTTTCGTAAATTACGTCTCGCACATAAGAAAAATCTGCTGTTACAGTCTATTGTTGTCAACCTTATATTATTTTGAAGTGTAAAAAGGTATATGGTTTTTTAATCTTCAGTAAAACTAATAAGAACACGTTTCGTACGCGTGCTGCTGAATCATTAATAACAATTATTTGCATGGCAATGTCAATAGAAAAATACCTCCTATATATAAACTGTGAATATGCAGAACGAGAACTGATTGTTAAATATTCTAATTTGCGTTTGCTTTCTGGATTATAATAACGGATTTTGAAGATTTAAATATGAACTCATCGAATCGTTCGATGTTAGCATACGGTAAACCGAGTACATCTGCTGGATCATCTCCTGTCACACCAATAACTAGTAATAGTCTAACTTGTTCGGCTTCAACACTTACGCAGAGTACCGCAAAGTCTCAAGTCAGACAACCTTCACATGGATCCTCTACTGAACATGCGCGGTTTCTTCTCTAGCGTTGATTTTTGTTTTATTACATAATGCACGATGTAGGGTTTAAGGGTGTTCTTTTTCATTTTATCAGTAGACGATAGTTTATATAACAGAAAGTATTACAATAAAAATTGTAATACTAGTAAATTAAGGATCTTTCGATCGGGAAGATTAGTAAGAGACTGTGAAGGGTCCTCTTCTGTTATTAACGACTAATAAACCTTAATTAATAGTTTATATTATAATGGCAAATAACTGTTTTCCTTTATATTCTAACAAACATTTATTAAAATATCTTTATTTATGTTTAAAATCCAAATTTTAGAGGTACAGCGGAACGTGAATGTCGAACACGTATTGGGAAAAAATATGCGGAAAGTTGGGAGTCATTGAATTCAGCAGTCACTGGTTCAGATCCATCAGCGAGTGAACGATTTCATAATCATCCTAAAACTGCGCAGGAACCGCAATCTACCACCTCTAGGGGTGCACTTCCTTTTCGTATGTTGAAAGGTTAAAATTCCTTTACCATGAAAGTTATTTGTTGAATTCTGATTTGGTATAAAAGCTGTAACTGTTTTTTATAAAATTGTGAATTGCAGAAAGGAAATCGGAATCTTTTTTTAAATAAGGCGAAGTAATATAGAAATTGTTTTTAAAATAGGATTTATGGGTGAAGAAACAGCTTTCATTAAAAGTTAAATAAGCAATCTTATGATTATTGGAGTTTATACTAATTAGCTAGCGGAAATAAAAGTCCGTAAATAATGAAAACGGCTTATAAAATATCAAATAGTCAGCAGAATTCAAATTAATGATAACCGTAATAGACAGTTGTGAAATATCACGATAACGGGAATAGTTGAATCATTACAGTGCAGTGCATTTATCACCACTATTGCATTATACTATTACATTTAAATTTCCAAAACTAAACGATTTCAACATCTTTAAATCGAGCTAGTGGTTTGCAATCACACATTTGTTTTGAGTAGGAATTTTAAAATTCACTGTTAAGATTTTTAGCATTGAATTTAAGGGAAATTGTTATTTGTATTTTCAACAAATTGAAAATAAGGTGCCAGGTATTAAGAACAGAGATCAAAACATTGTTGAAAAATAAAAACAAAATAAAACAAAATGAGAAATTAGGGAAAATCATTGTTGTTGACATTTGATGCCATCTTCTGACGCTGTTTACGCGCCCGAGGTTTTGGATTCCCTTGGGCTTCAGTTTTGAGTCCTAAATAAGTGAGGCATTATCTGTTATCAATCTTCCTAAGCATGCTGTTTGCATACCTATTAGATGTTTTGAAGCATAGTTTGTGTATTTGATTTCTTAGGTTCTTTTTCATGCCTAAGAAACGGCGAGAACTATTTCAACTGCGGTTTTCACTGAGTAAAATAAATCTGTATTCATTTCTGTTATCAGTATTCATGATTTCAGCCAAATTGAGTACATCGTACGCCCCAGCATATAATTCCTTTTCATCTGAATCGTAAGTTTATAATTTTTGAAATTTTTGCTGATTGTGATTTTGCGCTTTTTACATGGCTTGATCCTTTCTTGTTTACGTCTGCTTGTGTCTGTGTGCGTATAAGTTTTGTTATCCTTTTTTCCATTAAATATTTTGCGTAATAATTTTTTTCGTTGCTGAATTGAGCATGATGTATTGACTCAGCGCTTGTTTTTTGCGACTAATGATTACAAAAATTTTTTAGATTATTGTGTAAATATTAGAAATTATGAAGATACTGTGTCATTTATAGTATTCTGCTTACGCTTCAATTTATGCATGTTCATTCTTAACGTGAATAACTTTTATTACTTTTCAATATAATATTAGAAACAAGATAACATAACTTTTTCTCTGCTTTATTTGCTTTTCCACTGCTTTAAAGTTTTATTTGCTAGTTTTTCACGCTGAAGCAAAATAAGTTAAATAAATTTCCACATTTCGCTCACCATTTCAGCTCCATCACAGCTCATAACTTTTCCACCAAGGCCAATAATGAACGTCGTAAAATATCAGCTTTGCCCATGTCAAAATATCAGCATCACGAATTATCGCGGCCATCCAAAAAATTGCCAAACTGCGGGAATGCGGCTCTTGATTCTGTCACGGGTGATATTGGTATTTGTGGTGATATCGCTATTGGTACCGAAGTACTTCCCAGTGAGCTCAGGGTTCCACCATTATTCACGTATACTCATACTTTAGGAGCATTGCAGCCAAGGTATTAAAAGTCGCCTTTAAGCTAGGTGCAACACTTCGTCAGCTTTTTGTATCATATTTTTGTGATATTTTGATAATTTTGAAATTTCCAATTGAAACAGAAAATTTGCATGCTTCATTTTTTTTCTTAGGATTTTTATATTAATCAAAGCAGTTCAGAAGTCAATGAAATAACTGGCCGATCTCGTCACCTTTTTATGCATGTCTTTCCGCCCTTTTCTTTTAACACTTAAAGTTTGATAAGGAGGGATTAAACTTATACTGATCACTTCACCTTTAAATTAAAAAAGTTATGAAAAGATTTAATAATAATACTAAAGAAATTAAAATTGTCTTATTGTCCTTTTTTCTTCATACTGATTTCTGTAGTTTCTAGCAGTATTAAATTTTAAACATTATTTATCACGATGATTGATTAGCCAATATTTATATAGAACTTTTAGAAGCACAACTGCAATGTATGTTTATAATGTAAGATATGGACTTTGCAAAGTGATAGCAAAAAGTAGCGATCATGAACTGATATAAAAAACTTATTGTTACTCATTTTTTTATGAATCTAAAAATTTCCAGTCGGCGAGTGAAAACACTTTATGCATGCACAGCAGGTCACAATACCGAATTATCCTTTCAGCCTGGACAAATTATTACTAACGGCTAGTTTTTTCTTAAAATTATATTTGCTGCTGATTAAGTAGTACATCTATTCTATTCTAGAGCTACTTTTCTATCGCAGATACATGTTTGTAATGTTTCTGACTTTAGACCAGATGTATTTTGATGTAAATTTCTTAATACTATTAGTAATAACTCGCATAAGCTTGTGAGATAGATATGTATTTGCAACAGTCCTACATCTTCATCAACACGATAGTTTAAAATGATCCTTTTTCTATAGATTATATGACTGTATGACTAGAGCACACTATGCATATGAATATCCTAAAATAAATTGATATGAGACTTTCTGAAATAAATTCAGTTTTAAGCATAGTTTCATAGCCAATACGGACTGGCTGATTTCAAATCTCCTTTTTAGTACGGCATGCAGTTTAATCTTTGTTCAAAAATATGTAGAGTAATATGTAGAGCTCTTTGATCTTTGTAACTTTAACTTTCTTTAGCAAAATCTTAGGTTCAATCCTTTACAGTTTATGAATCAAAAGAAGATGGTTGGCTGATTGGAACTTTAAACGGAAAAACTGGTCTCATCCCAGCGAATTACGTCGAACCACTTCCCTAATTTGACATTCTTATTGTTGTTGCATTATCCTTTTTGTTTGCTCTCGCTCCGTCTGTAGTCCTTAAATAGCAAAATAAATTTCCACCAGACATATAATCGAGCATTAGGATTGATATACGTTTCTGCTTCTTCTGCTTTCTAATTAGCAAGTTTATATTGCAAAGATTTATTTATTACAATCTAATTCCTCACTCTATTTTTTATTTGCTTCAAATTTATTTCGAGCTCAAAATTTATGTAGAACAGGTAATTTCGCGATAAAAATGAGCTCGTCAAAAAGGAGAATTTCTACAGATGCAAATATCTTTTGTGAGTTTCCAGAGATTTTCTAATGATTTCAACTTAACCGTGGTGAGATGTGAGATTTATATTCCATTTTAGTCTCAATAAATTATGAACTTTTTGGTCTCACTGATACATCTTTTCCTGTGGTGTTGACTGCCGATTAGTAACAAATAGTGTAGAAAATATCGCCACGGATTTGTAGTGCACTGTGATGTACATAGAGTTCCCAACAAAGGACATTGGAATACTTTATAGATTAAAAAAGATGAATGCACATAGTTTGCAATGTAGCAAAATGATTCAGGGAAATGCCGGAATTATTGCCAGATTGCGGATATTCCTTGATCGGCTACTTGTTGTAAACAAGAAGTTGAACAGTCATATGCACCTGTATTCCCATTTTCAATATCATGTTAAATCTGTTCGTCTATGCTCTTTTCATTTGAAGTATATTTATTACTCTCTTTTTTGTGTTATTAGTTCTCGTCCGTTGTCATTTTATTGTTTTTTTTTCACTTGATATTTGACGTGTATTTCCTGCTTTACTATTTTTTAAATTCCAGATATAAATATGAAATTATCTCGCATATGTATAATAATGTACTTCTTATCTGTAAATCATGCTATCTCTCTCCATCTCTTTATGGGTTTGTTTCCATGTATAAATACAGTTTTAATACAATCTCCTGTTATTTACCATTTATATAACCTCCTACCCACATATTTCCTTCACGATGGTATACTAATTCCATTTTATTTTTGCTAATTTGAAGGAAGCTAAACTGCGGAACGAATCAGCACAACATATTCCTGTTCCGAAGAACGCAATTCCTTTTTAATACGATCACTTACTTCACCCAACTTGCTTCATGAATATATATTGCTTGCGCTACAAACTTCATCACAACACTTCCTCCACAGACAACTATTTGGAAAATTTTCACAAATTTCCAAAGATCTACTATTCTTCTTATAGCAGAACAATTGCCCTAAGCACTCGCCAATATTGTCCTAAAATGAATGAATGTGAATCAAACACTGTTATGTCTAAGATCAGTTAACTGTTTGGTAAGGTAGGCAAATAATTGCAAGAAATTTAGTAATCATATCAGTAGAACAATGCAATGGAATTATTTCAACTGACGCATGTCAACCAGTTAACAGTTTATCGACTTTCTTCTGCTTCCAATTTTGATAAATTCTCAATTTGAATCTGCAAATATCCCATCTTACAAGCACAGGATTATTTACAACATGAAGGAAAAGTATCGCAAGAAATTACCTGACTTCCCACTGAAGGTTTAATACCCAGCATACGACAAAAGAAGTAATAGAAACCATTCAACGTCACTTCACTCGCGAAAGACCCTTTAAAGCCATGAGTTTCACCTAAAATGGTTGTTTAAATACTCAACCGAATTTGTGAGTTACAAAATGCCAGTGACATAGAAGGCATCATATAGCACTTTGTGATTTTGCTGATTAATAGATAATTCTTTCTCCATTTCTCCATGATCGATCTAAAATTACCTGGAAAAACAGTTAGTGAAGTGGGCACCCCTTTCATCTTTAACGCTTCATGTAACCGTACACTTTGTGCGAGTGGTACTACCGTATCATCTTCACCATGGAAGAATGCAATTGGTGTTGAAAGCTGGTCTATGTGACTTAACGGTGACCTTTGCTCATAAAGGGCTTTCTCTTCCGGAAACTTTCCAATGAGCTGTTCGTTATAACCAAGCTCAAATTTGTGAGTGTCCTGAACGAAGCTTTTTTCAATCATATATATAAACTGCAATCTGCATTCAATAAAGTCTATTTCACTAAATAAATTTTCTGTTTTCAAACTCAAACTCACTTTCGTCAAACCAATCAAATCGCTCACACCGTACAGTGAGGCCGCTGCAGAAAATAAATCAGATTTTAAAATGGTGGCTAGAAGAAGATAACCGCCTGCCGAACTGCCCATAATACATAACCGTTTCGGATCAACCCGCTTCTGGGAAATTAAATGACTAGCAGCGTTAATCATATCATTTCTGTCAGCGACACCCCAATTACGTCGTAACATGTTACGGAAAACTTTCCCAAATCCTGTAAATTTAACAACTTATTTACAATTTTCATTATTTGAATATTTTCACTCTAAAAGATGTATTTATTTACACGTACTTGTTTGCATATGTCTTCAAATAGCAAAATGCATGTGTTATATGTTTCGAAAACTCCGGCTTACTTTTCACGTAGGAACAAAATATTAGAATTTAAAATATCAAACATCGAACCAGTGGAACCACGATAATTCACATCACAAACAGCGAAACCTCTTGTGGTTAGATACTGAATTCTCATATCAAGAGTGTTCGAAGAATAAGCCGTGGGACCACCATGTGCGAGTAGAACGACAGGTGGCAAAGTACCTTCTGGAGCTGCACACGTTTTGGACTGAAACAACTTCAATGATGATGCAGGAATGGAGATTGCAACTCGTTAAATTCAGAAAAGTAATTTTGAAATCTACGAAATGCCTCATACAAATAGAATAATTAAGTAAAACATACTGATAAAGCTTTACTGCATTTTTTCAAATAATTTGGACCAAAACTAACAATTATCTAAATGACAGAATATATCATAACATTTAAAGCAACATTATAAAGAATTTTTAGGAGTTGTAAAATGATGTTTGAAAAAAAGATGTAAATCAAAATTCTTGCAAATTCTTGTTCTTAGGAAGTTGCAAATTGTTTGTAATACTAAATGTTACTAAATATTACAAACAAGAAAAATAATACTAAATATTACAAACAATTACAACTCTCGACTTGTAATCCAAACTTGCAAATTTTTTTCTCAAAGGTACGAATTTTTTAAGTGCTACTTTAGTAAAAAAGCACGCTATCGATGAAAATTCTTACAAATGGTGGGTAAAACCAGGCTTGTACAGTGATACCATCTGACTGAAAATACATCGATTCCGGCATTGAAATATCATACTTATCAATATCAGAGGAAAATCGTGATTCTCGGAGAACAACCACCTGTACGTGATATCTATAGTTTGTTGAAAGCACGAGCTAATCTATTTATTTTCTATAAGATCGCTCACGAAAATAATTCGATTACTGTTTGAACGATATAAATTTAAATGTTTCACTTCACAAGCAGCAATTCTCTATCCAAACCGAAAAAGTTTTTTTCCCACTTTTCTCTATATGGTTGGATAAACACTACAAAATATTTCGATAAGAACGCAGAAACACAAAATATCTCATAATGTAAAAGGAGAAGTCAGACGGGAAAAACATCTATTAAATGTAGAAATGCAGCTGTGTTTTGAAGAACACCGACCTGCTCTGTATCGAGCTGAATTCTGATTACTGATGACGACTTGGCCGGACCTGAGGCAATCGCATAAGCAATACCGCTCTCATCTAGAGCGAGACATTTGAAACTTGTGTAGCCCGAGCAATTGATCGCTTTCACTTTTTTATTCCATTGCTTATACACCAATTTTCCAGAAACATTCATCAAAATGCCTATAACATTGCCAATGTGTGTAGAAACATTCTACTGCTGTAATACAAAAAATGTGAATAACGCATAGAATACTTTCAACTTGAAAAAGAACATAGTATGCAAGTTATTTCACATGATAATTATGCATCATTCTCTTAAAAAAATATTAATTAACAGACTAACGTTTAATCATAAAGTGTGATTGAAAATAACCCCTTTTATTTGAAGCAAAATGATGCTCAGCAAATTGCCAAAGCGGAGCACCAATTTCTGCATCAACTGGAAATAAGTTTTGGTCCAATTTACGTTCAGTTAAGTTGACCTACAAAAAAAGAAAATTAAGAAAAATATTAGCAAAAATAACATTTTATTCTAACATCAAACAATGAAATCGAACTTCATTGGACCGAGTTAGACTATCAGCCCGAAGAGCAATTTTTTTGAGAGAAATATATACCTCTTCACAAAAATCATTTCTTTAATATATTTAAAGTTGGAAAAAAAAAACCTCGTATACATTCCACCAATTAGTATGATCCGAAATTAAATATAAATTGCCAGCTGAATTCCACTCTGGACTATGATAATTGACACCTTCACGAGAAATTCGGAAAATCTCGTCAGTGTCACCATTTTCTTTAATTGAAGAAATAACAACTGTTGTTTCGTCCCATGGCTATGAAACACAAATAACTAAACCCCGAGTTTGTGATATAAGTAAGACATACAATTTTCTTAACTTTTTTTCGCAACTTTTGAAATTTTTATTGCCAGTTTTAACGAAGCACGGGATGATCGTGAACCTTGTGAGGACCTCAGATATTAATGTAACATCTAACAAGGCATATATACTCAACGACGGAAGGTTTTAATTACAATTTTTAAACCAAACAGAAAATTTCACACCATATTCGGCATATTCCATTCCATCCACGTGAACCACTGTCCATTAGGACTTATGCGAGGAAACGCATAAAAGTCTGCACCAGTAACCTAAGTATATTTGAGTGTTATGTGTTTCAAGTTTATTTTATATTTTTAATCTTAAAATACAAAAATAGATTCAAATGAATTTAAGCTAAAAGCTATAAAGTAAATCTGCTTAAAGTTACTTACAATAGGCTGAACTGTACCTTCTACAATTCGCACGATCATATTTTCCACCTCGTTCCCAGAATGCACCTCATAAACAGCAAATAAGACATCCTGAAATTTATTCCTGATTGTTATGAAATATGAATTTTTATGAAACTACAACATTATACCATCATCAGACGACGTTACGAAACAGTTTGGCCATATTGAAGTATCATTATTAACTTTTTCAATATATTTGAAAAATGCATAAACTACCTTGTGATAACACAGATCTGCGAAGCGATGTGAATGATCACCAGCAACAATCATCTTGGGTTCATTACCTGCGGCTACCTGCCTGAATATGCCATCCAGAGTAATATAATACGGCGCATCATCGACAACAATGAATGACCCACCACCGTATTCATGTACTGAACCAAAGAAGGAGTAAATTAAGGATTTAAAACTCCCTTTTTCAAACTATTTCACATGCGACTGTCTAGGAAGAAAATATGATGCTTAATGTTGATGAATGACTTAAATGCTGACGATATTAAGTTCACTTTCTGATAATGAGCAACACTTGTGTTCTTTTTTTCTGCTAAATTATCTTCTTAGAAACATAAGCCATAAATCTATAGAATTTTTCTAAGCAATAAGTATATGTAAACACCTGTACTCCTTACGCTAACATCTTGTGGAGTCCATTCAATTATTTCATCTTCATCTTTTTTCGCTTGAAACAGTGCTCGTCGGCCAGTAGGAAATTTTGATTCCACCCAAAATACTGAGTCTAAAATGATAAGCTTATGAAAACAAACAGTTCAACAGCATGTAACATTCATCAGTAACAAATAAAAAAAGTCGACTCCGAAAAAAGATAGAACAACTATAGTCCTTTTTTAATTAAGGAAGATGATGCCATATGCGGTTGATTTGAAACTGGTTGAACCATAAGCCAATCAATTAAATCCAATGGTATGACAATTAGCAATGTGAAGATCTTGGTAGAAATTCTACCAATATAAATATGGATATATCTCAGTAGTCTGCACTATTAATAAGACAGCTGAACAACTATTATTCGTACCATTAACACAATAATTGAATAATCCTCAATGATAACAATTAAAATGTACTTTCACCACACTGCAATTCAGAAATCACTTTACAATTGCCACTATTCAAAACACTTGTATCGACAGAACTCCACCAACTTCCATATTCGGCTATCACTTTTTTTGAACTCATTGTATCTAGGATTCGATTGTTATTAATGATGAGGAACGAAGAAACATTCTGAAAATAAGACGAGAAAATACAACATCGTTAGAGACGTCGAAGCGATCAATAGAGTCATACTGATTTCCTTAAATTTTATCAATATTTCCCAGAAGTAAAATGGATTCAATAAGGTGATTATTTCGCATATCACCTAACTCACCTAAATCTGAATCCATATCTTAGTGTTATAGCTCTTATTTTCCAATACAGAGATATATATTCAGAGATATATAAGAAATTAGCAAAGTAGATAAGTTTATTTCTGCAACTAATATGCTTTCAGTAACTTCCGCTCTTTAATTCTATAACGTTATTTTTCTCTGTTTACCGAACTGTGCCATCATCTCTCATCCAATAATTCAAATATAACTAATTCCGATCAAATCACCGCTTTTGTTCCATACATCCCGTACACAGTTTCACATCCGTAGTATAGAGTTGGTATGAAACTGGAGACTCTCGCAACGTTAGTGGTGTAGAAAAGGTGGAACCTGGAACGGGTGTAGCGTCGGACAGGTTTAGCCAGTCAGTTATATGTGTAGTTCATGTGAGACCGATCAAACTGAAGTCTTAATAAACGTGGGATTTTTGGATTTAGCATATTTCCCAGAATTAACTCTAATGCAAAATTTAGGGTGTAATAATTTTACTCTTTTTATTAATCTTTTTTTACGCAATTATTTTCCATAAGTCAATTCTTTGCTTGTGTATATATCACTTCCTTATATGAAATCTTCCCCGTGCTTAATTTGCATTCATAACAATTGTTCGCGTTGATGCTTTGATGGATTATCGCCTTCTACAGTACGAGTGCTACTCAATGATCATTTATGCCTGTCTAGATATAAACCACAGATTACATGATGCTTTATTTTGAAGGAAAATATACGGTGGATAATAATTTGTCAAATGAATTCGTTACAGGTAGACGTGAAATATGGCATCAATTCTTTGTTTGAATTCTAAAGCTGAATTGGCTCGCCATGCGGCAGCATTAGAATTAAATGTGAGTGGGGCGAAAGGACTGATGGAAGTGATGCGTACGAATCTCGGACCCAAGGGAACAATGAAAATGTTTGTTTGGTTTTGTTTAAAGAAAAAGGAACATCAATAAAACAGATGAAGGAAGCTAGGATCTGATATGTGATCATACTTTGTATAATCTGACTGTACATTCAGACTGATGATCACAATTACTTTTATAGTTAGTCATTCACGTTTTACAGGCTTGTGTCTGGTGCAGGTGATATCAAATTGACGAAGGACGGTAATGTACTGCTGCATGAAATGGTAAGTTGATCGTATTTGAGGTTGTAGTCGTCTTCTTGATGGTCAGACAACACAGTTGAAATAGTTTTACATAAAGAAGTTGTAAATTTTTTATTTCAAACTTTATGCAAGTAATATCTACTTGTAGCAAATTCAACATCCAACAGCCGCGATGATTGCAAAAGCTACAACAGCTCAGGATGATGTGACTGGTGATGGTACCACTTCTACTGTTCTTTTCATAGGAGAACTCCTCAAACAAGCTGATCTTTATGTTCCTGAAGTATGTGTAAAAGGACTATTATTGCAAGAGTTTTTTTTTTTTGAAAATTCCTTTTTTGGTTGCTTTCAACATTTCATCATCATTTGTGTTATTTCAGGGTGTTCACCCAAGACTAATCACAGAAGGCTTCGAGTATGCGAGTAAGAAAACTCTTGAATTTCTGGAATATTTCAAGCAAACACCAAAAATTGACCGTGGACTGTTGATCGAGGTATTTATTGATAAATAAGATATTCTGATTTGTGTTATATATAAGACATATTTTCTGTGTTTTCAAAGGTTATTTTAGTGGAATTCCACTTCTGCGATGAATTTACCATTGCGAATACAAAAAACAAAAAGAAAAAAAAGATCTTATGATCTTTAGCATTTAGGCGCCTTCGCTAGTTAGGTCTGGTTTCATCTCTTAAGCAACTTCTATTTCATATTTTTTGGAAGAAGTTTTGCAAACATAAGAAATGTGCTTTATTTAGCTAACTTTGATAAGGAATTTTCACTTTCACTTCTGTTTAAAAAAGTTATTTTAGTGGAATTCCACTTCTGCGACGAAAAGATTAATTCGTCATATAAGGAGAAGTTGCATCAATTTTTATATAGGTTGCACGGACCTCATTGCGAACAAAACTTAATCAAAAGTTAGCTGATCATATAACGGAATGTGTTGTGGATGCTGTGTTGGCAATACGAATTGGAAACGATTTGCGTCCAGATTTGCATATGATTGAAATGCAGGTGTGTGAATTTCAACACAGTAAAAATGAATTTATTAGAATAAGTTATTTAAAGATACATGTGGTTAGAAAAATGGATACGCTAGTTTTCTTATTTGGATCAGGTTCAAAATTTTTTTGCTTTAGTTGCTATATGAGCACTCATTATTCCGTTAATATATTTATATGGAACAATTAACATAGATGAATATAAGACAGTTTTGCTTACTTTTAAAAAGTAAAATATTTTTGATGAGAATATGGTAAATGAAATGGCAGGTGAATTTTGATTTTCAGGAGATGCAACATGAAAGCGATATGGATACTAAACTGATACGCGGATTAGTTTTGGATCACGGCTCGCGACATCCTGATATGCCGAAAAATCTCAAGAATGCTTTCATTTTAACATGCAACGTTTCGTTGGAATACGAGAAAACGTCATAGTTTTTTTATTCATATTCCTGCTTTCACCGTTTCTCAGGCTTTATCTGACTTACTCACCTTTCCTTCGTCAGTAGCGCTCTTCAGTATTTACTTATAGGGATATTGCAGGAGTGTAGCATGATAAGTTTTTAGAAAGTACGGGATGTGTTTTTCAAAGTATTGGAAAATTCCTCTTTAACATTCTTTGCAATAAGCTTGCTTCTTAGAATATCACGAACAAAGAGATCAGTGTTAGATGATACGAAGTGCTTCCAAGTATTAAATGAATTATTCGTACATTTTTAGCGAAGTCAATTCGGGTTTTTTCTACAAATCAGCATCTGAACGAGAAAAGCTTGTTGCTGCTGAGAGAGAGTTTATTATGCGCAGAGTCCAGAAAATTATTGATCTGAAAAAGAAGGTATGTGATGAGGCAGAAAAAGCTGATGGAAAAAAACGTGGTTTTGTGGTAATTAACCAAAAGGTTCGTTGTTCGTTTCTGTACCTACGTGATTTCCGAAATTTATGTAATATAGAATCAATGCTTTTTAAAAACTTTGAAGACCGAAAAGACATTTATTAGAAACAAATATAATTTAAACTACGAAATTACAGGGTATTGATCCACCATCATTAGACATGTTAGCGAAAAATGGCATTCTGGCGTTGAGACGAGCAAAGCGACGTAATATGGAACGATTGCAATTGGCGGTTGGGGGCGAAGCAGTGAATTCAGTTGATGACCTTACACCAAATATACTCGGACATGCTGGCACAGTTTACGAGCATGTTTTAGTAAGTTTTAGGATAACTAACAGAAGCTGAAGGCGCGATTGTTCTGATTCTGATTCAGTAAAAATGTTCCCAACATTTAAGATTTTATATTGATTAAATATAAGGTTTTATAAGCAAGTTGTAGTGTTTGGTTGATTCAAAGAGTTATGATAGTTCTAACATTTTGGAACGTAAAAAGTACGTTTACCGTTCAAAATAGTATAAAATGTTCCAACAATTTCCAATATATATTATCACCTTTACTATATCAGTGGTTTCAATGTTTTCGGTTTTAAACTTGTCATATTCACATTATTTATTGCAGATTCATACTTCCGCATTTTTCGTTTCCATCTTTTTTAATAATCTTGGCAAGGATGCAGCTTCGTGAGAAAGTAGGATGAAATTATGAGCAGAAATTACCAAATTTTGTGCAATTGTGTTGTTTTAATGTCATACTTATTTCCAGGGCGAAGACAAGTACACGTTTATTGAGGATTGCAAAGATCCGAAATCAGTAACTATTTTGTTAAAAGGACCCAATAAACATACAATTACACAAATTAAAGATGCTCTTCATGACGGTATTAGAGCAGTTTTCAATACATACAGTGATCGTAAGTTGCAAACTTTTACTTCAGTTGTATTAATCTTGAGAACATAGCATTGAGTAGATTAAAGAATAATTTAACAGTATTTCATTGAAGTGTAGAGCTGCAGTGGTATCATGAAAGAACATATTCTGAATTATTGAATCATTTTCATTTTAGATGTTTTATAGTTTATATCATGTGTCTTATCTGTATCTACTTTTCTTATAAATGCAATAACTGTGCTATTTGTCCGCATTGCAGAAGCAGTTGTACCAGGAGCTGGTGCTTTTGAAATTGGTGCACATTGCATGCTGAAGCATGAGGTGGACAAAGTGAAAGGCCGAGCTAAGTTGGGAGTACAGGTAAGCAGAATTATAGAAGATTTTGTCGAACGTGTTTTGTGAATCAGGAAAAATATGTCCCGTAATAACTCCATTTAAATAAACAAGGTCACTTTCAATACCTGTTTTTTTTTTAATGTTCTAGGCCTATGCAGATGCACTGTTAGTAATTCCAAAGACATTAGCAACGAATGCAGGATTCGATGCACAGGAAACAATAGTGAAATTAATAGAGGAACGGAATGCTTGCAAGGGCAAAATGCCCGTTGGCTTAGACATCACATCAGGCGAACCGTGCAATCCTCAGGTAACAATGACTTTTTATGATTGGAAGTTTCATGTGTGGAAGATTACTTAAATTTCACAGGGTCTTTTAAGTTTCTAAAAATTTTTTTAGTGTTACCTCTGCTAAATTTCTTAGCCATCATCGAATACATCACTATATCTGATTGTGGCATCACTATATCTCATATAAAATATAACTATGTTTTGAATTTCTAAATAGCTCCAATTGCTTGTGTTTAATAACTTATGTAGACGCTGTCTCCTTAGATTGCTAGGTAAGTGTTTCTAAAATCCAGGCTATAGTTATTCTTTACCAAATTTTGTAATCAAATTTTATTTGGGAAATGTCGTAGTTGTTGATTGGAGAGAATTTCTAATTACGATTTTTGTGTATTTTTATTCCGTAAAATTGAAATACATAATTTTTAGGGTATTTGGGATAACGTTGTCGTCAAGCAGAATAGTTTAGCATCAGCTTGTGTTATCGCATGCAATTTGCTTCATGTTGATGAAGTAATGCGTGCCGGTATGACAAACTTAAAAGGTGGTAAATGAATGGAAAATGATTGTTGGAGATAAAATGCTTATTTTGCTTTCTTTATTGTTTTATTTGTTCTATTATTAAATTTGCTGCATTTCGATATAGATTGACACACTTCTTATTCATGGTTGGGTTTCTAGGCAAAATTTTTGGGGATAGATTTCCCCTTTGTTTTGCATTTTTTTGCACTTTTATCTCTTCTTACTCTTCGAGTCGAAGAATAACTTTAGAATTGTAACAGTGCAAGTAAATAATATTTTCCCGCCAGAAAACTGGGCCAAGAAATATCTGTTTGCTTGATTTTTAATAAATGCTGATTGCAGTTAGTGGCGTAGTTTGTTTTTACATTATATATTTCATTTCAAAGAAGCAAAAAGAAATGTGAAATAAGTTAAATTGAATGATGTACAACTGCTTCGTACTGTCTTAATTCCGTCAGATCTTTCATCGCCATGTGACCGTTCCTGTCGGATACCCAACGACCATTCATTCCCGGTATACGACTGGTTGGTTTGCCCCAGGTCATTCCTCGAAACAGTAACACTTCATCTACTGAAAAAGGAAAGTGTAGTTTCCTGCCATTTTGCGCAATTTTTTTGTCCTTCACTTTTATTGCGACACCCCACGGGAAGCTGCATGGTGTCGTTCAATTTGTTCCAAAGGATCAAGCTTTCAACTTTATAGTTTCCAACTCCAGACAACAAATAATTACCGTCGGACCACATGGCGTATACATGATCAGCTTCCCGATTCGAATCGTTATTTAAATTCTCCAAAAAGGCAGAGTAGTTTTTTTGTTTGCATTCAGAGTCCGGATATCCACAAATTAACTGCAAGATGTTTTCATCTGATTGGTTCAAAACTTGTACTGATCATTTATAAAAAGGATACCTGTGGTCATCAATGGAAATATTTGGAAGATTATTACATGTTAATACGATGAATCACTGCTCTCTCTTTGGGTAAACATTTGGTCGAAGTTTCGGTAATACGGAGTTTTTAAATCATTGTTCGCTACTACTAATTGAAGCTAACATATGACATGGTCTAAATGTTTTTTAATTTAAATATCATTGCGCAAAGCTGCGTGCATTTAATAGCAATTTTCAGAAATTTGGGCAACAAATCGCTCAAACATCAGAAGATTGGACAATATGAGTTTACAATAATGAGAGGTTTACCTGATCCTCACAGGTATATCCAGGATACAAACCATCCAAAGCATTGCACCACGCTGGTATTGTTTGTGCCAGTTGACAAATGCAAAGACCATAATTGGCACCAGAAATGCCCAAAAACGTATCAACTCGATGACCCAAAGGTTTCCCAAGAATGCAATTTCCATCAGTTGCTATCAGGTCACCACCTTTTAGAACTTTCCTAAAAAGAGTCCTTACATGTAATGACCTCATTTTAAACTTGTTTCGCTGTTAAATTTACCGGTCCAAAGTAAAAGCTAGTTGACCGAATTGCAATAAATTATTTGAAACTTCTGTAAAGTATCACGTTCGGTTCTTATTAGTATTAGCTGCTTGCCCAACGTAATTGAAGCCGAACGAAGCTTTTAATTTAGTGCCAATAAACTTGGTCGCCTTATTTTAAAAGCTCATAGTGACCTAATATTTTAATCTTGTTGGAAAAATCAAAAGTTTTCCCTTTTCTATTTTTTGAAAATTACTTCATTTCGTACTTAATTAATTAAAAATCGGTAAACTCGAAAAGCGGCTTTTACTAAATTATAAGAAAATGTTGGCAAGCTTTAAGATTACTCATTACAATGTGTCCCCTAGTAACATGGTTGTATGCAGGACATGACTTCATACTGATGAATTTTCTGAAGCAGATTCTCTATGCCAGCTGTTTTTCAGATTATCGATAATTTTGAATCGATTTTTCTATTTTACATTCCGAAATCTTCTATCCCGAATTAAAAGTTTACTTAAAATCATCTTATAATGCAAAAAGTTAAATATGTTTAATCTTTGAAAGGTTGCAAGCATGAGAGAAACTAAATTCTTGAAACTTTTGTAGAACATTCTGTCAATCGAATAAGCAAAAATGTTTATCAATTTTATTTGAGAAACGATCCTATGTTGTATAAAAAGATATTCACTGTTAAAGGATTCAGTAAAATTTATAAAAATTAATTAAAGAAATTTACCTCATTAATGGTACGGCAAGAGAATGTGCAATAACATCAACCTTTGATGCACCAGTGTAATCCAATACAGCAATAAGAAATTTCCTCAAATATATAAGATTTGAACAAGTATGCATGGTACTGTAAGTTGTCAAAATATTTCCACCTGCCCAAGTATCACCCCAGGTTGTTGCATATAATTCGGCTGAGGTATAATTCTGTTCCAAGAAATATTGAATTGATCGTGACCATCCGGTTGCTAAAGGTGGTTGTATGTATAATGCTGCATCGGCATTACCGTGTACAAAGATCACTGGCTCCCGTGATATCTGCAAATAGTTTCATTAGAAAATCAGAATGCTTCAGAGAAAAAAGAAATGTATATGACTGAGTAATAAATGATTAGTTTTTCTATTCAAAATCATCTCGTCAACCTAAATCAATTCTTGAAAAGAATCAAAGTTCACAAAGACATCTAATTGCTGTTGACTTTTAAAAATAATTCAATCCAGACCAAGTAATAAGCTATATTCATTAGAAAATGATTGAAAAGATACAAAACAAAGCTTCTTACTCTTTGACTTCTTTTCTTTCTACCACCAAAGCTACCGCTTGGGCCAATATCTGGCCGATCAAAATTTAAACTTTCATAACCATTTGCCACAAGCCAATTTTGAAAGTCATCGGTAAGTGGTCCAATCGGTCGACTTCGACTACTTTGTCCTTTTACCAATGAGAATAAGTATAATATGAAAATCCAAACACGCCTATGATGAAACCTCATAAAAAATCATACCGATTATTACTTCCATAAATAAGCGGGAAATTTGATGGCTTGATCAAATTTTACAACAATCAGTATTCATAATATTCACACAAGAATTTTGATTCCTTATGGATATTTATATTCTGTCCCTAATAAAATGAATTAGGAAATCTCAATCCCAATAGATATCAGTCCCAATTCGAGTTATTGATTTCCATTTGAAATATAACTATTTTTCTAGAGTAAAGCATGGAATATTTCTTACAAAACATATCTCTTTTTTGCATTTATCCTTCATCTTTCTTCCACTATTTGTAATTGTGAAAAAGAAAATTTGAAAGGAAGAAAGGAAAGAGGGAAAACTCACATAAGAGCGTTGAAATGTTTGAATAGAGAGGTCGAGTTAGAAATTCTTCAACTGAAAGTGAATTTCACCGATACAAGGATGTTTTGATTGAACTATAGGCGGATAAGAGATACTGCCCCTAATATCTATTTCTCTCTATGTATGTAACGGAACGGATGATGATATGAAGTTTCGCCCCGAATAAATGGTGAATTGTGGACAATTCAAATGAATAAATTGAAATTGCGATTGCTGCATGTCCGGAATAATCCTCTCTCGTTTTCGCCTTTTTCCATCTTTACAGGTAATTCTTCATTATCCATGCATCAAACATATTTGATAAATAATGCATAAAACATTATCATTACTCTATAACAGTTACCTTCTATATCTGCTGTCATTATTTCTATCCTTGCAGTATGATGTGACCTTTTGATGATGAATTAAGATTTCGATACTAACTGGTCACTATTCACATCCTATCCCATGCAGGTTATTTCGGCAAGAATTTATCCATTCCTCTTACCAATTCCATCTTACCAAACGATCACAATGAATTTCGCTTATTTGAGAATCCATCTGATCAAAAAATAATGGAAAAGGAAATACTTCGTTCTCTGCAATAACTCATTTCTGTATCACATCTGTAATACATTCAAAAATTAAGAGTTAGTTTAGTGATAATCGATTTCTCAATTCTACTCTATTTCTATCTTCTAGATCGAATATTATACTTGTATTGCAGGCATATGTTAATGAAGGTTTTCCCGAAAAATTGCTATCATATTTCATTACATATAAAGTTTACGGATACGATAAGCTCAAAACTAAATTAAATAAACATTAAATAAATTAAATAAACATTTAACCAAATAAATTGATTAAATAAAGTCTTAGGTAATTAAATAAATCTTTTGAGTTCCATTAATAATATGGTGGAGGAGTAAATCTATAAAATGTAATTCTTTGAAAGTTGGTAGAGCCGTATTTCCAAATGTTATTTCTTATGGAAATAGCTTGTAGGAAGAGGAAAAAACTGATCATTGATAGCATCCTTTTCATTGAGTATTAGCGATGTTCGGAGATCGTTTGATTTTAACCAGGTAAACAATCAATCATTATGTATTTCACTTCAATTTTCACTTTCAGTTAATGATGAAAGAGAAATGATTAAATGCCATGTATCATTCATTTTTTTCTCCGATAGATGCCATGAATCATTCTTTTTTGATCGGTAATTATTTAGAAATGGTTTATCATTTAACAATTTAATCATTTATTGAATTAACCCCCTCACACTCCCTTATCATTTTACTAATATAATTCAAAAGGTTTACATTATTTCCTCTTTTAATTAATCTATGGGTTTTATNTAATTATTTAGAAATGGTTTATCATTTAACAATTTAATCATTTATTGAATTAACCCCCTCACACTCCCTTATCATTTTACTAATATAATTCAAAAGGTTTACATTATTTCCTCTTTTAATTAATCTATGGGTTTTATAAGCAATAAAGTTTGAAGAAATGTCAAATTTTTACGCTCTGATAATAATAATAATGATAATACTTTATTACTCGAAGCTTATTTTTTTTAATTTAATAAACTTCTACTATATGTCAGTGTGACAATTGGAAACTGAAATAAATAAGTAGGATGAATGGCAAACACATGTAGTACATGACAGAACGCTGAATGCTTTAAGTGATATGATTTTCATATTATCATCACCTTGCGCTTGCAGAAAAGACATTCTGAAAAAGATTATTTAGGAAGGGAATATTGTATTTGTATTCTTCGCGCTCCTAAATTTCCAGTTTAAATATTTTTTTAGATTTATTTATTGAATTTTTCCATAAATCCGAATAATATCAAGAGAATGCAGAAAAGAAAAGTTACTATGGTTAAAAATTCGCAATATGAAATGATCAAAATTAATTTTAAACAGTAATTAACCTATAACATCTGTAATTGCATTTGCATTGAGACATAGAATTCAAGGAGTGCAAATAGCTTTTTTTAACGATAAAAATAATTACTATAAATTTTTAATATTACTTATTAAGTAATACTTTCCTATCCATAATTTTCCAGCAATATTTTCTCAACCATATTTGCCCACTTCATTGGTACTTATAACAAACATTCATTTACATTCACTAAATACGTCAATCTCTAACTTTTCGATGCAAAAAAATGAAGAGGAATAGAAAATTATCAAATAAATCGGGCACAAATTAGTACTCCTAAAAAAAAACAAATAATTTTAACGTTTCCATATTAACGAATCCTTTCCTCTTATCTGGCCATAGTTAGGAGCCAAGCTCAAGTATCACTAATAATTTCATAACTTTTGCGATGTTTTAGAAAGAATCATATGAATCTTGCTGATGGCAGTAACTTTCAATAAATTACAATCAAAAACTTTTAGCACAAGAATGAATCTTTCAAAAATTCAATAAACTAAGACTTGTAAATGACTCATAAATTACACAAAATGCATTTAAAATGCATAATTTTTCCTATCCAACTAAATGAGATGATAAAATCAAACAAATGAAATCGCTCTTGACAGAATTTGAACTTGCTTTAATGTAACGTTTCCAGAAATGAATTCTACATTAATCTTTTTTAGAACAGCAAAATGTCACAGAAATTTTTGCAGAATGTTCTGAATTGCTGCCTTCTTCCTCAGAAGTATTTCTGCCTAAAATTCTAATTCAATATATACAGATTCGAAATTCGGCATTATTGGCCAAATATATCTGACCCAGGAGCTAAATTCTTTTGAAAAATTGTTATAGGATTGTTTTAGTTTAATTTAACTGGCCATAATTATGGAAATATAGGAGCTCAAATAAATCTCAACGTATGAAAACGTTTAAAGGAAGTAATAGCTATTGCAATCTCCCACTTCATACGTTGATTAGGAGTTAGCAAAGATTGTAACATAAACATAGATTTGTGAAATCGTTTCCTATAGAATTTCAATACGAGAATTAGTTCTACAACAGTAAACGTTACAACTGATAGGAAGGATGTTATAAAAGACTTTAACCTTTAAGAGATAATTAAATTAAGAAAGAAATGATAAGATGATAATATCTTGAATAACAATATTGTGAATAATTTAAATAAAACTTTGCGGTTTGCAAAATTTTCAAATGCATTTCATACAACTTTTCCTTCAACATTTGCAACAATATTTGAAATTAATCTGTGGAAAAGATGTAATAAAGGAAATAGAATAAATTGATTTCCTCTAAAGTTTCGTAAGAAAACACAAAATTCACACGACTATTTCGAACTGAAATAAGTGAACTTCAAACAAGCAAAATGAATTTCGTTATTATCAACAGAAATCTTTAATATTCCGAATGTGATGTTCTGATATTCTGTTAACGAAGTCTTGTCCTGATAGTACACACTTAGAGAACCTATATGAATGAAAAATCAAATTGAAATAGCAAATTATATAAGAAGGTATATAACAACTACGTCTGCTGATCTTTAATCTACAAACAACAGTTTAATTCAAATATTTCTAAAGTACTACAAAATCATATTTCTGTATTCAAATATTGCATGATGTGATAGTAATAATTTATTTTTTATTATAGTAAATAGTGATCGAATCATCCAAAGACATTCTGCTATCACTATAAGTCATATTTCTGTATTTAAATATTGCATGATGCGATAGTAGTAATCTATCACATCATGATATATATAAATACAAAAATATGACAAAAAGGAAGGGTGGTCATCCTTGGTCGATTCGAAAGCTACTGCTGTTACCACTCTTCAGCAAATATATTCCTTTCATGTCCGCAGTTAGGCCACAATAAGAAAGAAAAAAAAATGTTGCCAGGATTCTAAGTTAAACTAGAACTGCAACTACTCCTGCAAAGAATGGCGAGTCCTAATAACAATATGTTGGTTTTTCGCACTATTTTTTTTACACCAAATTAGCATCATTGATATGGTCTAAATACCGTTCCAGCAGCCAGTTTGATTGTTATATGATGTTTAAAGATTACATTTTTTAACTTTATAAGTATCTGCCAATAAATGGGCTATTGGAAATTATAAAGTTAAAATTAAATTAAGTAACATGATACAAGCGCAAAAACAGTCGCAGAGATAAATAGTTGAAACAACAAAAAGATCAAGTGATTCAATTGTAACAGTCAATTTCCAATCAAAGAAATTATGCAACAACGATCGCTTATATCCATTATCCATTTACACATTGCGGGAAATTTTTTTTTTGATCCACCTGCTTTGTATTACTTATTTCCATATAATGATTTCATATCAGAAAAATTGATATAATCGACATCACTTATAACGCAATATATTCTCAACTTTAACATTATTAGATATCAAATTCTTAGTTTGCCGAAGAAAGTTGACGTATGAGTTATTAATTAAATAATTCAAAAATATGAATTTCTAAAATACATCACGAGTCAAGATTAAAAAAAATTCATAAATAACCAACAGTATTAGGATGAATTTAAGAATGACTGTATGCCAAAACTTACGTTACTCTGCAACAATTTTTTAATTCAAAACTGGAAATCAGTTGCACTTAGTTCTTGCTTTAACAAGACCCTACTTCTTCAAATTTTTCGTTTTATATGGAAGTTTTGCTCTGCTTCATTTGTCCATTATTTTAGTTTTTAGGTGACCTGCATCAGCCATTGATCCTAGGACCGCACCTGTATGACTTAAAGCTCGATATTGCATACCGTAATCTGCTCTCTCAAATAAAAGATTCATTTCCTGAAAAATATAGGACGTTGAGAATATAAGATGTACATACACATTCTATTTCAGAGGGGAATTTACTACGCCTTCTTATTAGGAAAGAATCATTTCACTGGACAGCAGTACAATAGGGCAGTTCACAAAATTTCTATAGGATTTATATTCTCACGGATTTAGTAACTCTCCACAACAATTAACCGCTTAAAAATTATTTAAGATAAATTTCAATTTTTACAAAATTCCTAGAAAAGGATGCTGTCAAATTCACGCACTAATCTATGCATACCTGTTCCACAAGCTGCTTACGTTCGGCAATGAAAGTTAAGCGTGGAACATTATGACTGCTTAGCAATTCAGACAGCTTCTTACGCACAAAGTTTTCTGATTCCTTTAGCACTTTTTCAGCAACCTGAAAAAGCATGAAAGCTTCAACTCAGCAGAGATGTAAAATAATTAAGAAAGTTCTGGAAACTATTAAAGCAACTCAAAAGAGGGGTCAAGAAAAGTAAACTACTTTCCTTCCTCATTCCCAAAAAGAAAATAAATATTACCTCATCGGATTTACTACCTTTTGCTAACCAGTAAACGTCCATCACTTTGAATGTTGGGCCTACGTCAACCTAAAATTTATTGTATATTATCTTCCCGAACTATCCATGATGTCTCGCTAGTGAAAGAGCAAAAGATAGAAGAAATTACAGCAAATCCAGTTGCCATTTTTCCTTGACATACATCCATATCACTAACGTATTATCAATAATATAAATATGTTTTAAGCTATGAAGTATTCGTCATTTCTTTTTTTTGTAACGAAATGCAACGTAGAAAATCTTAAAGTCTTTTAAATAATCCAGTAGAGACATGCCTTGTACAATTCCAATCCTTCTATGCCACAAAATCGATCATGTTCACACAAAATTTGAAAAATATACTCCAAAAACATTCTCCCTAAACGATTTCTTTTTATCTCGCTTAGTTTTCTTTGCTTCGGTTTCTTCCCAACATCTAGCATCAACATCTGCAACAAATCAGTAATGATATCTCCGGCGAAGTCATTACGAGTATATTTGAATGTCATGACAAATCTATAAAATAAAGAAAGTCATGTCGTGTCAAATTTTAGCTTACCTTGAACTTCTTTTTTGCTGGTTACTTCTCTACTAATTACTTTATTTGTGAATAGAAAAGGAAAATTTTCCTTGTGCTCAAATTTCCCTTATATTTCAAAATATATCTTCAAAAAAGTCGTTTTTGGATAGGTGACACTGCTGCTTTTAATGTCATTCAATGCAGTAAACAAATCATTAGATTTAAAGCCCATAAAATCTAGTTGCATGCATCATCCATTAAATTGACAACAACCTCATTAAAATCATTGTTTAGACTTGCTGAATTCGCGCGACTTCGCAGTAAATTCTAGATTATAGCAAAGAAATATTTTTAAGCCTTTAAAACAATCAAAACCAAAAGAAACTAACAGCCTTGTCCAAGCCACTATCGACACCAACAAGTTGAGCTACGGTTCTTGTAAAACTTTTTTTTTTTGCCACGATAAATCGAGGCAAGTCGCGATGCATTAGATAGTTTGCATGTCCTCGCCCTGTCTGTCTCTTACAAGGATTCATATATGAATGTATAGTCATCGAACCAATGATATTTCGAACTGGTACATTCACAGGCATAATGCCTTTCATAAGAATTTGCACAGATGTTTGCATTGGCTCGAAAATTCCGTCACGACCAATTCTTAATGCTCAACATATTCTGAAAATTCTTGTTTCTAAATAAATTGCATCGGATCTTTCATCTCCCTCTCAGTACCAATAAGTTCACATCAAATGAAGTCTTGTAATTAAACAAGTTCAGTGTGAGCTGAGTGCATTCTTCATCGAGAGTACCAAGGACGAGGGAATCGAACTTCGAATATTCAATTCCCCGCTCCGCGCATTTCACAATCGGCGATCCAAACAAGTGACCCTTGACCATATAAAGTTCATACCTGATATTTACTTAAACGACGTCTAATCCCCACTCAACTTACATAACAAAGATTATTAGCTTTGCTTATTTGCTTAACAAAGGAACCAATAAACATTTTTAGACAGTATGTTGTTTCCTTCAAAAATAACATATGCCACGCGCAGTTCACATTCCACCGTTTTGAGATTTAAAATTTTCACTGTAATGATCAGTTATATATATTGGGTACAGATGTTGTACGATACAACTTATAACGGTTATAACACCTCGTTGGCAATAAATATTATACGTATCTTTTTACAGCAGCATATCAAACCTTTTCGTCCATAAAAACCATTACAACAAACAATACGGAAAGATGCGATATATCTCTGAACAATTATCTCTTTTCTTTTACATGAAATCCCCGAAATTCACTAAAAACATTTTAAAAGGAAACAGCAATTTACAAGAGCAATCTCTGTCTTATGATCTAAGCTGCTCTTCAGTGATTACCAATTAAATGCAGCAAAAACACGGAAAAGTAGAAATGGCAACTTTGCTTATTCCAGTATTACCTTTTCGAAGTTTTCAGCGAGTTCACCTGAATATTCAATCATCAACTGCCGGAACACACGAGAAGCGTCTATTGTACAATAAATTATATATTTCAAAATAATTGAACATGAAAATGAATTCTTTTAGACTTGGTTAAGCAATCTATTTTTCATTTTTTGGAAATGAAAAAAAGATGAATAAGACGCTGTCATAAGAGTGTACGAATAGAAAAGTGTACGAATAGAATAATTCCGAGATACACATTCAACATTTATTTCTTAAAGACGTGAAACAACAAGCGTTGAGAAAGGGAAAGGAAAGAATCCATCATTCACGCTGTTTATTCAACCACATTTTTTCTAAGAAAATATCACATACTTCTCGGAAATATTTATCCTAGAATGTGCTATCGCTGAAGTCCATATTTCCTTATTTTATTAAAATAGCATCATTCCTTATTTTTTACAAAATGAAAAAAGTATAGAAAATATAAAGTAAGAAGAAATAGTAATTATGAATTAATCCCATGTTCTAGTTGTTCGACAAATAATTTTTCGCTTATTCGTTTCAAATATTTCGCACGATTTGTTTCAATGAGATTCCATTTTCGATGATTATATATCTTTGACCATTTCTGTGGATTGGTTCCCGGCGATAAATCATCATTCTCCAATGGATTCAATTTTATTTTTCCCGTTGTTATACGTTCACAAGTTGCGTTACCATCCTGTGTTTGTTCCAGATCTTCTCTACAAGAGAATTAATAATACTTGATTTGGATTTGAGCACCAAATCATCTCAAAGGAATGGTGAATTGTATCTTTTATCTGCCTATAGAGAGAAAAAAGTAACGGAGTAACGCTTTTATCTGCCCATATAGAGAAAAAAAAACGGAGTAACGCCAATGTAATAATCGCATTAATAATTGGAAGTATTTCGAAATAATAAATATGTTTAAACAACAAATTTGGGATTTACAAAAACGAGAAGTTAAAATGAAAAAAATAAACAAGTGTCCACATAATGGTTCACAATTGCAACATCTGATGTCTTGTTGAATGATGTTTACCTTATTGCTACAAGTGGAACTGTTGGAAAAGCCTGCTTAATTTTCATTGTTAATGCATCGAGGTATTCGCTTATACTATTTACACTTTGCCAGGATTGCTTTTTCCTCGCAGAATCACTATTCAATCCTATGTTTAGAAACGATCGTCGCCTTCCTTCAAGATGCCGCTCTGTTTCTTCAACTACATCTTGAGAAGTGAACGAAGTAGCAACAATACCTGAAAAGGAATGGATAGAGACATTCTAATATTTCTCTAACCTTTCTTTTAATGCTACACAATCTTGAAGAAAAAAATCACTCTCACACCTAATTTGGTAGCCATAATGTCTGCAACTCGTTTCGTGAATTCTTCAGCTGTTTCGCTTGGTCTATTCGAATCTGAACTTCTTTTTCGATGCAGAGGATGAAGCCAACGTATCTAAAATATATCGGAAATTAATTTTAAAGAGAAAAAAATCATCCACTTAACCCTTGAACATAGAAACAAATAAATTTTACACAAACATATCTAACGTTTTAATGAATGCTTTATAATTAGAAGTGAAAGCATATTTAGAAAGATGAACATGTGGCTATGCTCAATACGGTTCTGGACAATCTCCTGCGCAATGCATTGAAGAGATTAAACAGTGTTAGCAGCAGATATGCTAAACTATGTTCTAAACTTCTTGCTTTGGATAAATCGACTGAAAATGGACTGAGATGAAAAACTAAAAAAATCGTACCTTCATGACAGTAAACGGTACAAATAGAAAATAGAAAACATCTTGCCACCATGCGCCACCCAAAACTGATACCGCGATATTGCCAAAAAATGGCCTATACACTGATATTAATACAGGTTGGACTGAATCGGTTACCTAAATCCCAAAAGTGATTAACATTGCAAACAGAAAAATAAAATATCCAGGAAGATAGAATGCAGATGTAATATACTTCGAATGGCCAAGTGCTAAATTTGAGAAGACCAGTGGAACCACTCGTCATTGCTCCTTCTGGAAAAGTGAGAAGAGGTAAAGCATTCTTTTCGCAGAATATTTTTGAACGACGGATAAGCTCTGCACGTCCTTGGCGAGCTCCCAAGTCTTTGTGCCCTAGGCACCTATAAATAAAATTTGGACGAAGAAAACCATCCGAACATTAATTTAAAACATTCAACAGTTATTCATGATCAAAACTGCCAAGAGCAGATATCTATCTGTTGAAACCATTGACAATTTATCTAGCTCATAAAGCTCTAAAGCTCATAAACTAAACTCATGCCAAAAACTCAATAGAGAGTAGATTAATAGATTTGAGCTTTTAATGACAAGGATCCTATCAAAACATCGTTGTTGGGACATACCAACGTAAAAGGCCAGGTATATTCCAACCAGAAGGTAATATGCAAGGTTCAATTAAGTCAACAGCCATGTGATCAAGCGTTGAAATATGGTTTGCAACTAGAAGATGCGTTTTATTATCCCAATTTCCAGCTGGTCCACCGCTGAATACTACCAGGCCCAATAAGCATGACATTACCCGTAATACCTGCAAGATAATTCATGATACACATAAGAGTACGTTGAAAAGTGGTATGTTTCAGAAAACTAATTCCATACTACTCATAGAACAGTAAAATATAGTAACTGGAAACTGTTGGTATAAGGTCAACCATGACATTGTAAGTCAGTTCAATTTAATTTCAAAATTTGATTTCACAATTCAATCTGTGAAGTCACGAATGCATCGTAAAAAGGTAAATTATGAATCAATTTGCAATTCTGAACAAATTCATGTTTCTTCGGGAATAAGTTGACGAATGTGCGGAATAATAACTTACCGTACACCTCAGTAACATCGTCTTGCGTAGAATACATGCGGTAAGGAAAATATGTACACCAATGATAACACGTAAGCAAAATAATAATATACCAAATGGAATATATATATAAAGTAAAAAACGTTGAAATGTGGATGAAGAACAACGATCACGTATAAATAGGCTATTCAATCGCAGCGTTGGTGTTGTTGATGAAGATATCCCCGCCATCCCTGAAACAATGAGCCATGTTAGTGTAAATAATATTCTCAGAGAATACTCTTCGCCTCTCCAACAAATCAAATACAAACACGATAACGCAACAATAATGCGGCCCAACTAAAAGTCGCCATACAAAAGAAATATCCTTTGAACAGGTGTTTCCTCAAATTTGCATACGGTTTTACGTGTATGTACATCATATGTTGCAAGATGGTTTAAGCATGTTAAGATAAAGAATAAAAGTAGTCATTTAATATTACAGTGTTAATCTGAACCGGTTCGTTGTTAAAGAAGCTCCTGACAATCATACTTATCTCAAAATAAATTCGGGTTGATAAGTTTCATAGAATTTACTGGGTTTAAAAACTGAATAGGTGGTAAATGTTGGACTAAATGTAAATCTTAAATCTTAAATCACCAGTGTTCTAGTTTTACTGGACAATTCTTTGAGCGGTGGCTCATTCAATATACCATTAATTTTCTTTTCACTAATCCATTGCAACATTTATAATTTGATTATAACTTTTTGATATCTGTTCTTTTACTCACTGTCTTTTCTATCATTTTTTTCTCGAACAAAGAAAAAGCTTATCTTCTCTTCCTCAAAAAAGTTAATATTAAAACGGAAAAATATATGCAGAAAATGTACTATTGCTATTGCTCTATAATAAAATGATAAATTCACTATTATGAGAATAACAAAGTGTGTACAACAAAGAAGTAAGGAAGTGAAATTGGATGGATTAAAAAGAGATAAAATGAATTTAAACAGTTAACAATTTTTTAGCCTTAGCAGTTTTGCTGTATCAACGAAAAGTGAACTTTGAAAGTACATGTTTCGATATTCCTCAGCAAATTAAAAATCGGTCGTTTAATAAGGGTGACCATGAAGAGATGACATTTATTGATCGGTTACCATTTATTTCATTGCAGTTTTTATTCTAATTTTAAAACAGAATGATGATTGACAATTATTACTGATCTTCTTTTTTTATTGGCGCTCAACTATGATGGAAATGAAAACTTTTCATGTTATTTCGAAATATATTTAAAGTGTTGTAAATGAAATGAAACGAACCTTATCTTACCACTTTGAAATCTCGTGATTCACCATACCTCCAACATTCATTCATTCTTAATTGATGCAAATGGTTCATCTGAGACTATTTTCTCTCTCTCATTTTGTTAATCAACTGTTCCATCTGCATATAATATTGATTAAATTATTTTAATTAAAACATTGAATAAAAGGACGATGACATATTTTTCTTAATTTAAAAATGACGTTTTTTTTTTTATTTACAGAAACAGAATTAGATTTAAAAGTGTCAGTTTATTTGAAGGTATGTTCTTCACTTCTTTTATAATAATTTCAAATCTATTATTCTTTATAATAACGTAAAATGATCTAAGAAAGGAAGCTTTGAAATTATAGAATTCTAAAAGCATTGTGGAAAATAAGAGATTAGGGACAATTTCTGGTTGTCAAGTATTATTAGCAATAAATGTTGTTAATAAGCTTTGATGAAATTCAAATTGAATTTATTGGCTAAATATCTTGGACGAAATATAAGAAAGTGAAATATGAACATTGACCACTGCCTCAATATTTAAATTGAAATTTGATCAATTTGTCCATTCTCTTCTCTACTTTTTCAAAATCAAAAATTTTCATTAATAAATGAATAAAATTAAAAATGAAGTGAAAAAACAAAAGAGAATAAAGATTGTTTAACAGGTTTATTTCAAGGTTGTTGTGTATCACCAAGTTCATTACTATGGATGATTATAACATTGTTTATGTTTTTTATCATTTTTGCCACTTTGGGCTTATTAGCAACTTGGCTTCTTTGCGCTTATTATCGAAGAAAATCACGGTTATCTTGCATAAATTTTACAGTTTTCTTAACAATTGAAACAATTTTCTTAGTTTATTTTTTTTTTCTTTAAATTAATTCTTTTTCTAAAAAAAGGCAATTTGAAAATTCAGGGAGCAAATGGAGAAAGAATTACAACGTCGTCGAGATGATAAAAATCAATTAAAACTTGATACTTTTCGAAAAAAGCAACTTGACTTACAGATGCTTACAGCAATGAGGAATGCCAGAATTGGCTCTAAAGATAATATTGTTTGCTCCCAAGAACCAAGTTAGCATATATTCCCTTAATTAAACATGTTGTAATTTGGGAAATGAAAGGGTGAAGAGATGGAAACGGAGAAAGATTCCTCAACCTTATGAACTTAATTCGCATTCTGAGTATTTGCTCAAGCCATAAAATTAATAAGATAGAGCACACATTACAATTTATTTCTCAATCATGAAATCTTCAAGATTTTCCTTGTCTAATAGATCTCATATAGCGGTTCTTAGATCAAAGATAACTATTTAGTTAAACTTTAATAGCTCAACAGTTATAATGACATGTCCATATGCTCTCGAGAAGTGATCTCGTATCTCGTATTTTTATTGGCCCTAGTCCATCTTATAACTGATATATTCTCAAATATTAGTAACACTACTTATGAGCGTGGTAGAAATTTGCTGTTTACTCAAATAACTTAGAACAACAATATCTAGTCAGAAATCACCACCTACCTTATAACAGACTCAAACATTTCTAAAGAAATTTTTGAGAATGGTTTGTAGTACCAATTGCCCAATCAATCTTTCTAATTTATTCGTTGATTTAGCTATTAATAGTAGTTTGAAAAATTTAAAAATAACAATGTACTGGTTTAGTAATTCCTCAAATGTCGTATACGCCATATATTCAACCATCAAAGCCTGGGCAACATCCAAAAATGCTCAATTCCAGTCTATATAAAAAGCCTTCACCGACCCAATCGATCCCATCAACCATATCAAAGGCAGGGAAGAGTAAAGTTACAAAAGAAATTGAGGTAAATAATTTTTTTTAATTACTAAGGTCTTAGATTAATTTCTTAAGTTCCACATATCTCCTATAGCTTTTAATTTTCAGGATTTACAACATTTGCCTGTTTTTACAGCAAGAACACCGTCTCAGAAACCAAAAAAAGATAGAAAGTTGTCAACTGAGAAAGATTCTCAGGGAATTAATAAAATTGAAGTAAACATTATATTGTATAAAATTGAACGTTCTTTCAAACTGAGCACTTAAACAATGAAAAAGCATCTTTCATTTAATATTTTAATATCATTATGATCGATAACTACTACAACTTAATATCTTTTATAAATAAATCAAATAGAATAAATAAAGGTTAACAATATTTCTTCCCTCAATAATTTTTACGTGTACTAATATTTAAGGTAGAAAATGACGAAGAGCCTCAGGTTCAACAATATGAGACTGACATTGCCGTTTCTAACAATGATCGGTTAAATGAACAGAAGCAAAAGAAAAGTAAAGAAAAGCAGAAATCCGAGGTATTCTCAATCAATAACTTAATTTATTTACATACTCTGAATATAAAAATCCTCCCTAAGTGTTCCCTACTTAATATCAAAAATCAAAAAAATCTCTTAAGACTTCATAATGTAAAAAATGTATGAAAACTTTTAGTCAAAATTTAATCAATAATTGATTGATAGTTTCCTTATCTATCAATCAATACAGTAGAATGACTGTTGGTTTTAATTTTCATCCAGTTAAAAGTTAAATAAATATTTTAGGAGAAGAGAAACACTCGAAAATCTGATGAACAAAAATATCCTCAGATAGCATCAACACCAATAGTATGATTTAGTATTATAAGCCTAAGTAATACTATCAATCGGTATTCTTTCAAAGACACATAGAGATCATAAATGTTAGAGCTGATGGATTTTAAAGAATCTCTCATAAGTCTATTTCTTTAAGATTAAATGACAGCACCCTTTTTCTTTATTCTTATACACTTTCAATAAATTTTAATTATTTGAAGCATTTTTTTGACTAATTTTTTTAAGACATAATGAATCGCTCTTCATTAAATATATTTGTGATCTCGAAAATAAGTTTAGTCATTCTAATCTGATTCGGTGATTATTAATGATTTCTGATATCTCTCTTCTTATTAGTTCGTTGTTTTAGCCAGAACGATATCATCATCAAGTTCCACCCGATAATGTTCATGAATGGATCAATCGTATTGCACGCTCAGCAAGTCCACTTCCATATTTTTCACCAAACAAACAAGTTCTTCTCATTCCCGAACCATCCTGTAAATTTTGACCTTCTTTTAAAATTTGTTGTAACATTACGAGTATTATTATGTAAATGTGGCCTAAGCATATCGAATTAATTTGATAAATTTCAAATTAAATCATATTATTTGTGCCAGCAACGTTTTCCATTTGCCGTAATAATTTTAATCTTCCTACTTGTAATTTATATAGCAATGTAATTTAAACCACATATTTCAATAATATCTAAATTACACTGCCATATTTCCTCATTTCTAATGCTTCTTTTGATGAATGAAATTAATATAAGCCATTAAAAAGAACTTGAGAGGAAATTTTGATCAGATTTATGAAAATTATTCAAATTTTTAAACGAAAGAAAATAGAAGTTTAAAAATAATGGATTTTTTTTCTACCATAATATACAAGAAGTAATATGAAATTGGAAAAATTAATTAATTATTCATTAAAATTAAAAAAATTGGCAATAATTGTAATTTTAAATAATGTCGAACAAATTTCTTAGCAGAAGATTTGGGTAATAAAAATGATGAAGAAAATGAGGAAAATATTGATACATTGGATACAACTGGAACCAACAAACCAGAAAAATCAACAAATTCATCATCACACACTGTTTGTCGCATTCTGAATTTGATATTTAAACCTAAAATTTTGATTTAAATATTAATCATCATTTTTTAATTGGACATTAATTGGACAAAAAAAAAACTAATTGGATATTAATAATGAATATGAACGTTCACGTAAAAACCATTTCTGAGCAAACCTTTTATGACAAATATTGTTTTAGCTAAATGAAGCTGTTATAGCTCCTGTGATAGCTTTAAATACGAGGATTTGTAAATCTAATAATGTTTCTAATGATCTGACAGTAAGAATGATTCCAATCACTCCCTTCTTAAATATGCAAATAAGAAAAATAAAAAATGGAATTGAGAATTAGAAATTATTTTTCGAAAATAGAATTATTAGAATTATTCTTCGATTAAAGGAATAATTTTAATTATATTTCTTCGATTTTTTTTTCATACATTCAAGATTAAATTATAGAAAGCAGGAGAAGTTGAAACTGACGTAGAAATATCAACCGAAACGAAGGAACAAATTACATCAGCGACACCAACATTCTCGACACCAATCTCTTCCTCTGTTAATGCACCACCAAGTTTGTTTAATTTTCCTGGATATTAATAGTAATTTAAGTTTGTACTTATTTGATTAAGTTTGAATATTAATGGATATCTTGATGATATCCTTGACATGAGATGGATTGAGAAAATCTATAGATTAATATCATCAGGAGATGATAAAGCACAATTGTGCTGAAAGGAAATGAGGTACAAGGTAAGTAAAACAGATTGAGAAATTGCCGTCGTCATAAATAAAATACAACTACATAATATTATAGACTCTTCTTTTAATTTCTTTTTTTGAATTACCTGATTATTAAGTGAAGATAATTCAATCAAGAATTTTATTTAAATTCTGCCACTATCAATTTACAATTTCATATCATTTTTTTCTAGGTAGCACATTTTTGGATGATCAATCATATTGGAGAAAAGAAAACAAACAAAAAAACTATCTGAAAATAGGGAATAATTCAGAAATAGGTATATTTTGAATTTTTTAATAATTAAATGGCACCGTTACACTAATCCAAGTCCGTTTTACTATTCACTTTTACATTATAATCAATCATAGACTCTATGGAAAATGCGATTAAGAAGCCAAGAAAAACAGTATTGTGGAATCCACCGGATAAACGAGCTGAAGCAAGGTTTAAACGAACTCTTGAAAATCCATGGTGAACTTTATGAAGATTACAAAGATTCACATAAATTTATATAAAAAATATCGCTAAGCCGATACAGTTGGATTATGTGTTGGATAACCGAATATAAGCATTGATAAGCGGATACAACTTACATCTATTTTTTCAATTAATCTTTTGCTAATAACTGGAGTATCTTCTGATTGCTTGAAACTTCCAGGAACAATTCTCCTTTATGTTCCAACGCATTAACTGTTACTGTTATGTCGTAGGAAAAAATATCCAAGTCGAGTTTTTGATATAAGAAATAAATTAGGAATTTCATTACTAAATTTAAGGCTTTATACAATGCCAGCTGTCCATTCCAAAATATCTTGCAACAGGTAAGATTTCTATATAATATTTAATGTAAAATTTACCGAAAGATAAAACTCTCCATCTTATTTAACTCGTGTGTACTAAATATTAAGCTTTGCCGTCTCTCCAATATTATATTTTTCTGGGGTCAATAAATCAATGCTTGCAAATGAGAACTTAAAATAATTTCTGTTTATTTCAATTTGCCGCATTATACAAAATAATGATATTACACCTATATAAGAGTGTTTTCTTATCGCAAAGGTATTTTAAACGCGAATCTTAATTTTATGTTAACTCTGTAAGTCAGAACTTAGACTGATCAATCCAACTATATATACCAATATGTTGCAAACATATTATTTTTTCCAACATATTATACTATTTTTATAAATATCTGGTAGAGCTCGTTGAAAGTTTAACTAACGAATAGTATACGACTAATACAACTTAGAAGTAACATTAGTCGAAGGTTGTCTTTAGCATAATACTATCGCCTATTCTTTCGAAGTAAACGTAACAATAAACTAATATTCAGAATTTCAGAGAGGAACAGCCAGTTGATATTATTCGGCATATATCGCATCAGCCATAAAATAGTTATATTATTTGTGCAAATCCATTTCTATCTTGTCATTGTTAAGTTGAATTCATTTGAAAATTAGCTATACTGTTTCGGCAAATAAAAATGTTTGAAATTGTAAAAATAGTTTTAACAATCGAAACTATAAAAATGAGTGAGAAAATGTTATACTATTTGGTAGTAAACTTTTGTTTAAATTCTTTAATCATATCAGGATTTGCTTCGTTCATTCAACGCAATTCATGATCCAATAATGAATGCTTCGATAATATCCTATTCCAGCTCTTCAAATACTCTACTGTTATATTCATATCTGTCATTCATTATTCTAACTAATTCCAATAAATCGTTAAAATTGTTAATGATTAAGCCTAAATAAATAAATAGCCCGCTATTTTATAATAGTAATAAATTCCCATTAAGTAAGTTTTAATTTCCATCTATCTAGTTAACATTTTGTGAAGTTTCATAACAACCCAACCAATGTGGTGTAAAGTCACAAACCATTTAAATTGAAAGAAGAAGCGAATTACCGTTCGGTGTGTTCCTGTGTGGAAAACACGGGAAATAATAGGTGCCAGTTGAAATTAACGATTGGGGCCGGGATTGCTCTGTTTGGCTGAAGAAAGGTAAGGTGAAGGGGATTCGCGGGAAATGAGTGCGGCAGGGTCATTCGGAGCTATGACTGGGGAAAGGCGTCGTGTGGCTCATCGACCCAATGAATCAGTGAAAGATGTCATACGTGGGTTGGCTTTTAAGAAGCAATCCGTTGCACAGGTCGCCTATTTTATCCTTCTGAAATCTTAAAATTTTGACTTACTTCGAAATTACTCCGAATTTTATTTTAAATTAATGGAGAGAAAGGTTGAAGTGTTGATTGAATGTCGTAGTCCTTATGAAATTTTTTAACTAAGGGGTTCTTATAATTTTTATTGGAAATATAAAGTTAAGTTACGATGGAGTCTTGTGCTAAATGTTTCCTGAAAAAAATTGCTCTAGACAATTGTAAGAAATAAAACTGAAGTTTCGAGTTATTTAAAAGTTTTTTTTTTCTGAATTTCCATTGAAAATTTTTGGGAATCAGTAGATTTTTTTCATTTTAAGGGCAGGAAAGACTGTTCGTTTTTCTAGAGTTTTTAATTTAGCGGCTATAAATTTTTTCTCAAGTTAATTTCTTTTTTTTCTTTTGCATTAAAAATTTCTAAAATCACCCTGTGTTTTGTTACAGAGGCTAATTTTTCTTTGAAGTTTGTCAATCCTAAACAAAATTCATGTAACATCCTGCGACGCTATTAAGGTCTACTACGACTGTCTGTGTCTATTTATGTTAGTCTATGTGTACATAATCTTGTACAGTTACTTCTTAGAACTGTCAAGAGTATCATGTTGAAAGATTACGCTGTTGATGGTTCGTTTGACCTATGTATCTAAACTGTGTCGTTCTCGGATTGATTGAAGATGAATTTTTTTCAAGGATCTTTTATATTTAATTTACATTTTGCGAAAAACAGAGATCTGATACGAAAAGAACAAGCGAACATTGAAAGGCAGTGAACGTTTCCAAAAGTTAATCATTTTACATACCGTATCATAGTACTGATTCAGAAAATTAACAGTTTAATTTGTAGATGGTGAATTTACTTGCATCAAGAAGCGGCGGTAAAAAGGACAGTAGGACGCAGCTTCAGCATGGATCGAAAGGTGAATTTTGTTAAGTCTCGTAAATCTATTGGAAAAAATGTTTCTGGTAATTGAAAAGTGAATCAGTATTGCAGGAATCATACAAAGCATAATTTTTAGAAATGAAAAAAACACGATCATTTAATCGTAACCGACGTTTGATGTCATCATCGGAGGAGGAAGAATTGGTTGAAAGTGGATCAAATGACGAGGAATTAAACAATTTGAAAACACCATATGCAGCTACTAGTTGGAGAAGACAGAATTCAGATACAGAAGTAATCGAGGATAAGAAAGAAATGTCCGAAGCACTTTCGAAAAGTGTTCGAACTATACCGAATATTATGCAAAAAGATCTAACTTTTGAAGAAAGGTGTGATTAATAGTTTATCAACGCGACTGATTGTTTAAAGCCTAATTTGGATATCTTTTCACGAATACGGCTGTGGAAATTCGGGGAAAATTCAAATGACCGTTTATGCTGATCTGCAGATGATAAATTAAATAAAAATCTGGTCGCTATAAACCCTGGACTTATTTCTTCTATTTAAATTTAAAATTAATTCTATATATAGTTGTTTTGTGTAGATATTAAATATTTATAATTGTTTTATAATTCTTCTATTTAAATATTTGTAATTGTTTTGTGTAGATTTGAGAAAGAGATACTTCAAAACGGGCAGTTTTACTCAGTTTTTTTGTTTATAACTTGATTATTTTCACGTTAGCTATATGTGATTGAAATTGCTATGCGAATTTTCAGTAATTGGATATTTCATTTATCTTATTTTTAAGGCTGCGAGCATTAACAGATAGCGAATCAAGTGATCAACAAACTGATCCAAAACAAGGCGTGAAGTGGTTGTGCAAGCCACGGTTGAATGGTTTTCTAAAACAAGACGATATACATATAGCCACTCAACTGGCTGCTAGGAGAGGTGGACGGAAAAGGGCAGTCATTTCTTCGTCTAGTGATGAAAAACCTGAAAGCGATGAAGAAAGAGTAATTTTTTGGTGGTTCTGTGATAATTAGAACCATGTTGTTGATGAATACAAGTAGCATATTAAGATTTTGGTGTAAATGATTTAGCATATTCGAGATTCTAATCCAGCTGGTGAGGAAAGCAGTAAATTCTGCAGCATTGTCTTCTGATCACTTAACCCCTTTTAACTTCTTACAAAGCTAAGTTAGAATTGTAAATCTACTTCTTTAATTTGTTGAAGGTTCCAATAAGTTTGAAAATGATGGTGAAAAGAGCTAAAAAGCACAAGAAATATGCCAATTCAAGCAGTGAAGAAAGTGAGAGTAACGAACATTATGATTCGGATAGTTCGGCACGAGTGGGCAAAAGCGATAGTAATAGTGAAAGTGGTGAGGTTGGTTCTTTGGCTCATAAAACCTTATTTTGGATTTTATATTGAGTAAATACAAGCAGACTAATTCAAAGCAGTAGTAGGACTAAAATCACGGTGCTTGTTGTGCTAATATGTTTCAATAAAATTAAGAATGTTTGAAACAAATGGTTCCTTGATGTTTATCAGATTTAATAAAGTTAGTGATGTTGATGAGTGGCAAGTATCTGGAAGGCGGGAAAAAGTAATAGGCTAATTTTTTTTCAATAGTTTATTTAGGTTATGGAGCGACGAAGTCTTCGAAATACTCCCTCAGCAATGGTTTTAAAAAATTGTTGTGTGACGTTTTTTAACGAAGCTAGTCGAACAATATTGATGGAAACTCCACGCATAAATGATAAAGTAGCTGATTTTATAATCACTAATCGACCATTTCGGGATTATGAAGATTTGGTAGGTATTATACAATGTCTTTGTTTTTTTTTTTTTGATTTTTATGATCTGTTGTGTCGTGTTGCCAGAATTATATTAATATTGGAACATTGCAGTATTTGTGGTCATTTTTATTTATATTCCGAGCACTCATGCCATGAGAGAAAAAACTCAAGTTTAAATTATGTAATAAATTCTAGGAATGCCATCTTTTGCAATGTCCACGTGGATCCTATGCTGCCGAGCAATATTTAGATTTTTTGGAAAACCGAAGTATACTGGAAAATATCTTGGATGATTGTCGTCGACATTCAGAAGAAATTTATTCTGCTTTGGAATCGGTTAAATCCAAACAGTTGCAAATGAAGCCAGAACTACTTAATGAAGAGTGCGTTTTGTAGAGTCGTGATTTTCGTCATTTGTAGAGTTGTAGAGTCGTCATTTCGAGGAAATAATTTTCTTTATCAGTGTTTGTTTTCAGGTGCGAACTTCATCAATATCAACAAATTGGCCTGAATTGGCTTATGATGATGCATAAACTAAAATTGAATGCTATTTTAGCTGATGAAATGGTAATTGTTTATGTTAGTTTAAGGAGAGAAAGCATAAAAAGAAGGAAGGAATAGTGAGAAAATAATTTTTGCATATTTCTTGGAAGCTTTTACCATCTGTAGCTTTTAGTTAATTGAGCAGGTTTAAAAGATTCGAACTGCCATCGTTTTTTTTTTCAGAAAGCCTAATACAATATCTTTCTTGTTGAATTATACTATCACTTAAATTGTGTGATAATATGATGAATTACTGGAAATCTGACTTAATTTCAGGAGGAATATTTTTGTATTGATTTGTAATATTAGATGTAAGATAACCACTTCATTGAAAAGCGTAGTTCTGATAGGGAAATTGCCAAATTCAGTCTACAGACATGCATAACATTGATAAAAATAATATCTTTGCAGTCATTCTTTGTTTTTTCAGGGCCTTGGGAAAACAGTTCAAGTAATAGCTTTTATAACTTATTTAAAGAGTGAGCAAATCAAGGGACCCCACTTAATTGTAGTACCATCTTCGACAATTGAAAATTGGCTCAGTGAATTTTCAAAATGGTCTCCTAAAATTAATATCATTACATATTATGGTAGCATTACTGATAGGAGGCAACTACGACATATGGCAACTGACAAGAACGTATGTTTATGGCGCAATATTAAGCGCACCATTATAAACAATCTTGAAAAAGGGTACAATAAAATATATGATGTAGTAAATGTAACTGAGTTTTGTCTCTCTCGTACCGTATGAAAGACAACAGTCATGTCAATGATGTTGGACATAAAAGTATGCCAGCAATTTAAAAGAATAACTCGTTTTTGGATAATATTTTGGTTAAATTCTAGTAATAAGTAGGTCAGAAATACTTTTCTTTGGTAGGACATTAAGCTAAGCTTTCTTCTTTATAGATAGATGTTTTACTGACAACTTATAACATGGTTGGATCTAAAGCAGAAGATCGGAAATTTTTCAAACGCTTCCGGATAAATTATGTCATTTATGACGAAGGTCATCTGTTGAAGAATTGTAATACTGATCGTTACAGAAATCTTATGAAAATTCACGTATGTTTCATTTTATTATTTTCAGATATTATCAAGGTTTCTAATGCTATTCATTGATTGCAATATGTTCTTCATTAATGAAAATAGGTTACTCCGTAGTGCAATTACCATTTATCTCTTGTTCTTTGAGATATTTAAATCATATGCATGTCTTTCCATAATGACTTAAATATAAATCAGGTAAAATCTAATGAAAAAGATACATATCGCGGTATCGCTATCACTTCGTTCCATCTTCTGATGTTAAGGAAGTGGTTATAATTTGAGTTTATTTTTGCTTGGAGCGAGTGACTGAAAAAAGTTGCAGGGTGAGAGAAAAATTTTGATTACCGGTACGCCTCTTCAAAACAATCTTGTTGAGTTGATTTCACTGATGTACTTTACAATGACGAAATTGTTCACAAAATACTGTGATAATATTGGGCAACTTTTGCAACAATTTCAACAGGTATATGAATCTTTTAATATTCTGATTTGAGATCATTTATCTTCTATATGACTCACGTTATCATATTTTTCTTGAAAAGGATTGGGATTCCAATGTGCTATGGAAACTTACAAATAATCTTTCTATCTAGATTTCACTTAGATTATTTGTTGAAAATCCAAAGATAATTTAGACTGTGCGTATCAAAAAAGTCTTCAAATCTTTTTTTTTTAAAGAAAATACCAGCATTGGAAGCCAAAAATGGTGCATTGTATGAAGCGGATAAAATTGAACAAGCAAAAGCGATCTTAAAGCCATACATTTTACGGAGATTGAAAGCAGATGTTTGTTTTCTTTTCTTTGAACATTTTTGTTTTTTGCTTTGAAAATTTTTGTTTACCTTAACAAAATTCAAAGTGACATGGTCCTGAAAAAATGATTTCAAAGCATTTTGGTTAATTTATATTCAAAAAGATACAAAAGGAGAAAGCAAATGATAAGAAAGGCAGAAAAATGAATAGTAAAATATATTTGAATTATTGCCATAGCTTGCTTGTTCTTTATATAATAAGCGAGAAGATTGGATTTTTGAAAAGTTGCTTTCATAGGCGGTAATTGAAATAGTGTGAATAAGTGATTAGCTTATTGTGCAAAAATTCCTGCCAATTTGACAAGGATGTTTTATCTGTATTTTGTCTATTTTTCTAGGTATTGAGTTATTTGCCGAAGAAAAAGGACCTTGTGATCAAGTGTCCAATGATTACGGTACAGAAAGAGATCTATATGGATTTGGTACGTGAATTCCGTCTATTAGAATCAAATGGTGAAAAATATAGCTCAAGCCCATTAATGCAATTGCGACAAGTGGCCAATCATCCCTTACTGTACAGACGATTATATGATGATGATAAAGTGATTCAAATTGCCAAAGTTTTGTGCGCAAAGGTTTGGTCAAATTCCTATTACATTTATATTCTGTACGAATTTAAATGATCTGCGATGGTGCAATACTGTGTATGTTGATGGGATCCATAATGGTGGATAAAAATTTCAGTAAATAATTAACGCTAAAAATTTGGAAGTCAATGATTTTTCAAATTAGGCACAGCACTCAAAATTGCGCGCGAAACCACCATGTCTTGCTTTAATTATGTTTCTGGTTTCAGTCTTACTACAATCCTAAATTTAACTTTAGTCAACACGTCGAATATTATGACTCAAACTCTTATTTCTATATCGAGAAGAGCTTCAAGGATAAATGGAGGTGCCTGTCAATTTTTCATTATACTTATTATGTTAGCAAGTTAATTATGTTTCCATCATTATGCTTTCAGGAAAATGAATATCGCAAAAAGAAATCAGATCATGTTGCTGAAGACCTTGCTTTTTTATCAGATTTTGCAATTAGTCAATTATGTTCAAAATTTACCTCAACGCAAAAATTTATCCTCAGTGAAGAGGTCGCACTTGAATCCGGAAAATTCAAAGAATTGGATAAGCTACTACCTTCAATTAAAGAAAAGGTGAGTGCGAATAGCAAAAATTTTGATCGTGACGTGAGATGACTTTTTCTTCAGCTAGACAAATCAAAAAGGCAACACTCTGTGATCTTTCAGGGAGATAAAGTGTTAATATTTAGTCAGTTTACGTCAGTAATGGATATTCTTGAAGTTTACCTCAAATTGCGTGATTACCAGTATTGTCGCTTGGATGGCTCAACTCCGGTTATGGAGAGGTACATTGAAATTTCTTTACGCAATTTTCAAATTTGTCTTGCTGCAATCGATTGTTACCAAATATTCCAGGCAAGATGTGATCAATGAATATAATTCGTCGCCTGATTTGTTTGTCTTTCTGTTGTCGACCAAAGCTGGTGGTTTGGGTATCAATTTGACTGCAGCTAATCATATCATACTGCACGACATTGATTTTAATCCATATAACGATAAACAAGCGGAGGGAAGATGTCACCGTATGGGTCAAACAAAGTATGTTATCTGTCAAGGTCTCTTCTCTATTCAAGAGAATTAATTTAATAGCTGCGGTCGAAATATTTTTAGAAGTCCAAGAAACTGAGGGTCGTCTATTTCTGGATTATTTCATTGTATGAAGGAAAGTATTAACTGATGTTTTAGAAAATTATGAATACATCTAGAAGCAAAGATATTAAGAAGTTGCATCATATTTTTTATGATAATTGTATTGAAAGCATTCCAAGGTGTTATTTAGTATAGAGAATGTGGCAAACGATTTCTTTGCAGAGATGTTTTTGTTGTGCGCTTAATATCTGCTGACACAGTTGAGGAGGAAATATTAGCTCTTGCTCAAAAGAAGCTTGAACTTGAAAAAGAAGTAACGGGTGCTACAGGAGAAAGTAAGTTTTCATTGACTTAAATGGATATGAAAAAGTTGAAAGTAAATTTGAATCATCTGTGACCGAAGTAAAAAATACGAATGGAACACTTCAAGTTCATTAATTTAAATGGATAAAGAAATTAAAAAAAGGGACTTCAATTCTCGGCGTTGCTTTTTAAAAAAAAAAACTTCTTAGGGCCTTTCCGTTTTTTAATTTCTTTTATTTTAGATAACGAAATGGAAAATTTGATTGTCGAAAAGCTCCTTAAAAAGGCGCTTGCATTATAATCTCAGTATCTTCTAGTGAGGTGCACCACTAAGAGCGACCATTTAACCTATGTGCATGATTCTCAAAGTTCTCATTGGATTACGTTTGCATAATTGTTTATTTGAGATATTGCTTCCTTTGCAAATGTTTAGAATTTAATCTTTCTTCTCAATCTTTCTATTACTCTTTTCTCAATTCATAATTTGAAAGGGTTCTTTCTCTTTGTTGTTGTATGGAAACTGATAAAATTGCTCGACAAGTGAAGGCACTCTGTAATCATCTCATATCCTTTAGGTCTTCTAGTTTTCTTTCACCTTCTTAGTTTCTGCTTTGTCTCACCCTGGTGTCGTAGGAAATAATTTCCAAATCAGTGCATAGCTGAACGATTGCTATCCAATTCTGTTCCGGGAAGTTGATTAACATCGCTTCCAAAAATCTTTATCTACATTTCGTCGATCGCTTCATACATACTAGAATTAAATCTGCTGTAATGGAGTTGGAAATCAGAAACATACTTTTTTTATTGGATTATTTCAGACTAAAATGCCCTGCATTTGTGTAAGATCTTGCAACCATGTAGATTTTCGATTCTGTATCGTTTTATGATGAATCAATTAATACCATTTGTTGACTGCCAGTCCTTCATTCTGTGTTTATGAATTCTTTTGACAGAAATTTTCATGTGCTAAACACTTAAAAAGCACGCTTTAAGATCGGTTAGAAATTTTAGCTAATCAATCTCGCATTATATTTTCCAACAGTAAAGCGGCGCACTCTCACGGCATTCGCACATTAAACAACTTGATATGACTTTATTATGATAATTATGAAGTCATAACTCTTACTCTAATCTGTAATTATAATGCTCGGTGACTTGTTTCAGAATTTGCGTACTGCACTAAATCTGTTAGTTGGAATCCGAAACTGAGAACCCTGAATTATGGAAAACTTTTTAGATTTCTACTAAGACGGGTGTATTTCTGTGCATTTGTTGTTGTCTGCTTGCTGATAAAAGACATGATCGTGCCTGATCCTTACCAATGTAAGACGACAGCGATAAGAAGCAGAAAATAAAGTCAATAACACTTATCAAAGCAAATGACAGAAGCATTAGCTTTTTTCCCAGTTTTTTTCTCAAGGCATGGTAAATTTCAATTTTTCTTTCTGATGGAAAAAAAACGGGGGGTGTCTGTAGTATGACGGCAGATGTACATTTTCAAATGAAATTCAAATGCATGGATTACATCTGAAAAGGAACACATGTGAAGTGCGTTCTTTGAAATCCCGAAACAATTTTTTAGGTTAAAAAAAGAATCATCATGTATAAAACATTTCGCACATCATAAGATTATCTTAAAGTTTTGACTGCAGAATGGTTGAAGTAAGATAATGTGTGCGAGTGAGTGGGAAGGAAAATAATTAGCAGAAAGGAGGAGGGCTAACCACAGAGAACATTCCTAGATAAAAAAATATGGACAAGATATAGAAGGAAAGACTCCGCTGCTTGTGATGCTATCAACGAGAGAAAAGTTCACAAAAGCAGCAACAGGATATTATACAGAGATAGACATTACATTACTGAAACGAAGTTATATATGCTCAGTTTTCATCTAAATAAAAATGCGAAGAAACTTCTTCCATTCTTATCACCGAAAAGGGTTCCACCTGTTCTTTCATAAATTGCAATAGTTTCTGCCGGGACTCGCAGAAAATGAGAAATATAAGAGTTCCCAGAGATTAGAGAATTATTATCAAATGAGAGTATTATTTGAATTATGACTTTTGCTTCATTCATTATCTTACTATGCATAGTACATCTGTTCAGTTTAAAAATTCATTTTGGCTCATTTCAATCTCTTTTCTTACTAAAACAATAAAGCTAGGTTTAAGATGAAATAAAGAAACACCTCGAAAGCAAATATGAAAGATAGGGAAGAAAGAAATACCCCAAAAGCAAATACGGAAGAGCAAAATAAAACTAAAAATTTTACTTATAGGCAAAAAAGACCGCCACTGTTCAAATCCACAACCTGTATGTCTAAAAAGATTATTGATAAAATGCCAAAAATATAACCAAAGACTGATATTTACAAGAACTGTGGTGACAAATGGCACTCATTCATTGATGTGATTATACCCTTCTATTATCAATATACCATTCGTTTGTCAAACAGTCAAAAAAAGGTGAAGAGGAATATCTGTAGATAAATTATTGTTGCTTCAATGCTGAACTTCAATGGATAAGTTGACGGTAGTATACACTAATGCACATTAGGTGCTGGCGGATCAGGAGCATCACCACCCTGCAGAAAAGAAATTTCAGATTAAGCAGTAGCAATATAAGATCTGCACAAATTACAATAAAAAAACATATCTTTAAATTTTCCTAAAGAGTGAATAAAGCTATAAAGTCACCAAATAAAAACCCAGGAAAAGGAAAGAACGTATCAAATATTGTCGACGAAAACACTTGTTATCAATCCTGAATTGAAATCTCTATAAAACTCTCTTATTTATAATGTTTCGTAAAACGTTCTGGAAAAACCGTTAGTTCATTATACTACTTACCGAATGAGGTCCCGGTTTTCCCAATGTATCTGCTCTTGAACGCATCGAATTAGGACGCATGATAAACATCGCAATTGCAAGTACAGCCCACAAAATGACAATCATCATTAGATTGTTGGCGCCAAAACCTGCACCTTGTGGACCCGGCAAATCTTGAACACATTCAGAATCTGTGCAATAACCCTGTGAATCCCGTAACTGAAACAATGGAAATAAATTGCTAATGTCCATCATGTGTTTTATTTCATTACTGATATTTCATCCACCTCTTCTGGAACAAAAAAAAAAGACTTTCAAGCATTGTTCGATATGTGTTGAGTATTTCGAATACAATCTCTCCATGCAAAACTATCAAAATAACCAATAATTTTCCAGAATGATTAAGCATTATGATATATTTCATAACTGCAGTACATCCCACACAACCGTTCAGTCCAACAAAAAAGATTAAATGGACTAACTACTAAACAATTTCATTCCATGTATTCCTTCAAGAACTGCATAACTATTCCATCTCTTTTTAGTGAGACCAATTTCAGGAAAAAGAATAAAAATAATGAAATTTAATAATATTTCACCAATGAAAGTAAACGTCTCATAGCAGTCTCATGATCGAACAAACATTCACACGGATCATCACCCATTTTCCACTATGTATCAATTGATGACGGGTCGTTAGCTATGCGAATTCCTAAAAAATTTCCGGTGAAAATTAACAAAACGTTAAAATTTAGTGGGAAAGAGAAAAAAATGAGGAAATAGCAGAGAAGAAATATGGTAACTGTAGCGGGGAATGGTGAATTGGATGGATTTCATATTTCTATCCATACACCACATATATTATAAAGAATAATGGAACGACCCGAATGCCCCGTCAGTTACTAAGTACCACCCATTCCTCATATGTTTTCTCTCTTTCCCTCTCTCTCTTATTCTTTTCGTAATAGCTGCATAAAGTGCATTTTCTTGTTAAAGTCGCAGAAATTATTACCACTTTTTAGAAAAGCAACAAAAGTCAATTAGCATTTTCTATAAGGAAACCATCTATCACAACGACAATGATAATAAGTTAACGATAGTGAATCAGCAATAAATCATGATGATAGCTTACGATTAAAGAAAGCACCAAAAAGAAAAACGTAAGACAGCAACCGTCGTCAAATGTGTCGCAGATGCAAATGACCTGTATAATTCAATATTTCCATCAAATAACTTTCTCTACTTTAAATATGTTTATTAAATTGACAAAATGCCACCCAAGCAAGCAAACAAACACACTACACATAACACATGTCTCCTAATTAGAAGTTCTGCTCTCAACATTTTATCATATCCTGCCCCTATAAAACAGCAAAATCATCGATCGCCCTACTGCCAGTATCACATACACATACATAAACAAGTCTGTCAGACATACAGATACATAAATATATACTTCCTGAAAGCAACACACACATACATAATACACACACTCACACAATCGTCCTATCACCAACCAATTTCGTTACGATACGTCAGCGTGAACGCAAAGAGAGCAAATAACAGGCTGGCTGAATGACTTTGTTCAAATTTCAATTCAAATAAATTTCGCGAAAACTTGTTGGAATGATTGCTTGAATCGATATCTTTCAGGAATTCCTCACCGCTCATCGTTTACTTTCTCTGGAAACAACTCGTTATTCATCACATCCATAAACTGTCAAATTTTGATATGTATAATGGATGGATTATAAAGGAAATGATAGAGTGGAAGTGATTCAATTCTCCTCTAATTTATCATAAAATCGTCGAGTATAAGCGATCAGTTGCAGAAGTAGAATCCTGCTTGTTCTGAATAAAGATTTTGATGTGTATTCGGCACTTTCGTGTAGTATTGGTCGTTTACTGAAAGACACTCCTTTTTATCATTCTGAACAGATGAAACATAACATTCTATTGATGTCTCTGAATTGATCTTCGATGTTTCTCCACCATAATTTTCACCACAAAATCTTTAATTCCAATAACTACAGTGAAACGCAAAAACTGCTAGAGTATGCATGTGTTTACAGGAAGAGGCAACACATATCACTGCTGCTCGGTAGATTTCATTCCCTGCTAAAGATACATCACAACCCAGGCCTGAGTATTTTATCTCCCATTTTTTGGATACTGAAGAGGTTATCAATCACTTGTGTCGACTAGTGCAATTGTAACTTCAGGGAATATCCTCTTCTCATCTCAGTATGAAGGAAAAAGGACCAGAAGCAGTAAACACAAAAACGAACTTCTATTATTCCTCCTTTACAGTAACCGATTTATTATTTGCTACTTCAAAAGGCTTTCGAAACCTCAACCTCGAAATTTCCTACATATTGGAAGTGAAGACTGTGTTTGTGTTTAGAAATCAGAAAAGTCCATTTATGGACAGTAACTTAATAACTCATCAAATTAATTCATTCGAATATAGACA